CTAATCAATGTTTCCATAAATAAACCGAGATTAATTTCGAAAATTTCCCCAGATGCTAATGAATTCTCAAAAATTTCCCCCGACGGCCGTCGGCGCACACGGGTAGATTCTGCACCGCTGCACGGCGACGACAACAACAACAGTTGAAGCTGCAGGAGCAGCAGCGTCGGCGTCGAGAGCTACGTCAACGACGATACGAGCAATGGTAAGAATGTGTATATGAATGACAGATGCAACGACAAAAAGAACGAGAGCAGCTCAGGAGATGTTACCCAACCCAGACCTATATGATGTACTTATGCTCGATGAAATTCAAGAGGATCTCTTAGAAGCCTATGACATGGAAAAGATGGATCCAACGAACCGATGGGAACAAAAACAATTGAACGAACTGCAAGGATTTGTTGTTCTAGAACAATTAGCATTGATACAAGAAGAAAATGAACAATTACCTCAAATCGATACAGTTCAACAATTGCAAGAAGAAAAAGAACAAAAGAGAAATACTGAGCAAGTCATTCGCCAGGAGCTATGGAAATAAGTCGAATTTTTACATCAACAATTAAATCAAACCTAGGTTGATTTTCATTGTCGCACACACAGTTTGTCATAGATCTTTTACTAAATTGAAAAAACATTAACATTTATAAATGTACTTCGTCATTTGATTTTTAATTATCCATAAAACAATTTTTCATCTTCTCTATTCTTTTGGTTCTAGATTTCCTATGAAATATCCATGAACAGTTAAACACACAGAGATTCTATCACACAAATGAAACAAATGGTTCAAAAGAAACATAGTTTCCAAACGCAAAAACTCAATATTAATATAAACATACAAACTCAATTTTCACATAAATCACACTACAACAGGAAACGAACTTTCCACTAAAGCATAAACTACATGTTGAATATACCACTGTTGCAATACAACTGTCTATCTTCCCATTGCTAATACTCTACCCATATATCCACATCCTTTTTCCATTATTACTTCGCTCAACTATTTATTTCCGGTTAAAACTCACAGGCATATCCCAATGCTGTAAATTAATAGAGATATGAGTGACAAACTTCACAACTATAACAAAATACATCAACACTTTCACATCATATCCAACTGAAGACATATTTCGCGATACCCGTCTTTACGTCATCGCACGACACGGAATCTTAAAAAAGCGCTAACACTCAAGCACTAGAATTCTATCCATCATGTCACTTTCCGGAATCAAAACCGTTTCATCATCACATAACATTTCAAACTGTCTATAGATCATCACCATTCGAATGTTCCCATAATTACACATATGTAGTAATTTATATTTCGTTGCTCTTATGACCATCCTCTCCACAATTGAAAACTCGAACACCAACAGACTATTGCAAGATAAAAGCCTTATGATAATTTCAAAACCTTCAGTAACAACGATGAGACCCTTGAGAAAGGTCGAAACTAGTTGTGACTTTGTTTTTCATGATACATACCCACACCCATACCCTTTTAGCATTACTTCAATATAGTCCAGCGTCATTAGATATTATTGATAAAGCTGATGCTTCTTTAGATATGTCACATATACAAAGTATTGGTTTAGTTGTAAGAAAAAGTTGTCGTAATGCGCAATTTATAATTGTTTCGTTAAAAGATGGAATGTTTTCAAACGTAAATGTTGAGTGTAGGTGTGGATGGGTGCTCATGTTTCTGACATCTGTTTGAAGCTGCACACACAAATAAGTATTGGAGTATCAGGGTGATTGATTACACCCATATATGTTTGATAGGTGCACACAAGAACTTGGAAAAAATAAATGAACACAGTGTAATTCAAAGGAGAAGAGTGTAGCTATACCATCACACTCGGTATTGATGTTTATTTCGCTACTACATCACTTCAATCGTCATGGCAATTTGAGAGATATACCAGTCTCTGTCTTATGGTATAAGCTTTACTGGATTCTGATCTACTGCCATCTGTACATCGTGTATACTTCTTCGAAATGCATTTATCTCATATTCAACACGAGCTGGTGCACGACAGAGATGAATGAAAACAGAAAACCAAGCATCCTAATAAATAACCATCACCACAGAAGGAAGAAGAAAGAGTAAGTTTAACATTTTGTTGAAAGTTTTTTTCATTTATTCTTTCCATTATAAATATTGTACAGATTTTGAGATTGCTAATAATTTATCGGAATTGTTTATTCTTGAAACAATTAAGGCTATTAGATTAAAAACTATAAAAATGTTTTATTTGTAAGAGAATTAATAATTATTTTACCCTACAATAACAACAAATCTTATGTTTTTATTAAACGAGAATTATTATATTTTGTATGAATTCTCTTGTTTAAATGTTTATCAAATATATAAAAACTTGAATACTTTTCACACAAGTTGGGCAATTGCTGAAGTAGAATAGAAGAATTAATCATAAATGTATAATACAAAAGAAGCTATTTTAGAAGTGCGTTGATTATAAATCAAATACACTTTTCCTTCTGTTTTTTTTTAGATTAGTCGTGTCTTGGTATAATAATATTAGTCATAAGCAATTTTATTGTGTATTTGATGAACTTGATTCAAATACATTACAGACGCGTTGGAATGCATTTGAACAAGCTGGAAGGGAAATGGGTTGGTAACTACAGAACAAGCAGGAAAGTATTGCATTTTTAGTACATTTTGCACATGAAACAGATGGTTCGAAAACATTGGAAGAATATCATTAAAAAATGATACAACTTATAATTATCAAACTAACTCATGGAGTAACATTAAAGCAAATCCAGATAAGCAATATTACGGTCGCGGCTGGCTTCAACTGTCATATCCGGCTAATTATAAAGCTGCTGGAGATGCATTAGGTATTGGTTTATGGAATAATTCAGATGTAGTTGCAACAAATGAAGTAATCGCATGTAAAAACAGCCATTTGGTTTTGGAAAGAAAATAAAATGGCCAATCTGGCAGCAAATGGTGAGTTTGATGAGACAAGACGTAAACTGAATCCATTGGAATTCGAAAGTAGAGGTGGACCTTTACTCCAATCAAGAAAACAACGTTATAGGGATGTAGAAAAATGTTTTTGCCGTAACTAAGCATCGAAGGATCAAATTTAGCGTTAAAAAGATCCTATTTTTTATGCTTGCCCAACACATTGTTTTTTCGTGTGATTATGAATTCTATCATTATTGACTTTTTCACAATAAACTAGATTTTAACTTGAATTGTAAAAAGAAATTTGAATGCAGTTTATTTGAGTAATACCATTCTTTCGGAAGTTTCTCGTGAAAGTTAGACGTGGGAGCTGTTTTATTTTAAAAACTTTGTTACGATTTCTTAACTAGAGAGCGTTATAAAGTATTGTACTTTTGATCCTATGGTAAAAGCATTTAAAATCACATAACTTTATTCTTTGATAGTTTTTGATAGCGTTTAAATCAGAAATTCAGGCTAAATTTGAAGAATTCATATTATATCTGTCATCAAAAATCATCAAAATTTGGTCTTCCATCCAAGCGATGAGCTCATTAACGTTTGACGGATAGGAAAAAAATCCATATTCAATAGATCATATCATATAACTCTCTTGAGGATATAACTTAATTACTTTGGAAAGTAGAAAGAGAGAAATCATTTTCTGTCTTTTTACTTGTCCATGAACATGCACATGCAAGATCGATATAAATATTCATTAGGACATATTTCAGCGAATGTGAAACACTCGTCAAAAAGATTTATTGATCTAGAACAGAGAACAATTTTAGTATCTCCGAATAACCGATCGTTTGCTCTGCTGATTGAGGTATTTCAATCTTTATCTGAATCACTGAGCGATAGCACATTGATTCACTCCAATTTCACACATATATCAAAATAATAGTCATATAAAAATTATTTTTCACTCACAAAGCTACTCTCAGTAGATTTTTAACATCGTTCACTGTTACAACTTTATCCTTTAAGTGAAGAGATACTTGTTTATGAATATTAATAACAAAAGCTTATTTCAAAACAGCCAGAATATTTATACAAGGAGAAAACGAGGAGAAGAAGGCAATCAACCTTCTTCTCCAATTCTCAACTACGCAACAACACATATTTTAAATAAAATTGAGAAATTAATCCAACATAGAAAAGAAAAAGTAAGGAGAGAGATGAAAGAACTATATGTATCATCATGTGTATATAGTAAACTCAAATTTTAAGAAGACACTCTTTTTATTTTATTAAATTCTACAATATAAAAACTAAAAAGTAAAAGGTAAATATTCATATTTATTATTGGTATTTCGGTTTGTGTTTATCGTATAAACATTGTAGAGTATATTCAACATAAATAGATTTTAGATGAAAAATGATTCTTCCAAGTAAATCTCCAAAATTAATTATAAAATAAGTAATATATTTTTTTCATAATTCATTTTAAATCAAAAAGTCGATCATTCACTTATGTCATTTTAAACCACAAGATAATAGCAAATAACGTTTATCGGATGCCGATTCACTTAGTCCTAGACTAAAGGACGGAGGATTATCAGTCAAATTTAAACTATAAGGCTGCTTGGGCAGTTTACTATTGGCGATTGCTTACAATTTTCGGATAATTTATTGAAAAGAGTCTTCGCAAATCATGACGCAACTTGAGCGTATGGGTGGAGATCTTCTTTTCAACCACATCCACAATCACACTCTAAAGAAGATAACTGTGTTGTCAAAGTGTTACGATCAAAACCAAAATAAGAAAGACCACGGGTGGAGTGACTTGAGATTCGTTCGAAAAAAGTACGTTTTGCATCGTTCCCGAAATCTGAATCTGCAAAACACGTTTAATTCAAACAAAAAACACAGAAATGAGTTTCTTTCAAAGAAAACACAGCGCAACGTATTTCTATACAGTAGAAACGCGTTTTAAAATGCGTTTCGTCAAACTTTTTAATGCGATGGATAGCATCAACATGAGAATTTTCATATTTTTTATGAAGAACGTTCTGTACTTTTTGAAGACACACATGCACTGGATGAACATGTTTTTTTTTATCATTTTAGGGTGCACGGGTAAGCAAAAGACTAATTACAAGATAGAAGAATTCAATCGCTTTCAGAATAACCATACCCACAACATGGATATTCCTTCAATCGTTGAAAATAAATCAGTACATGCTTCATCGATAGGACGATATCTACTATCTCCTCGAAAAATTTTCTTGAAAATATGATTAATATCAGAATAAGATTCTGTAATTGCTTGTGATTTCTTCTTTTGTTTATCTCATAAACTTTTCTGTGCACTAGCATAATTTTGAAGATGTTTAAGTCGAAGAACTGATGCAATGCGTTCATTAATTTCATTTAAATCATGAAATGCTTGTTGTTGTGCAATACTATATGAGCGGGGGAGGTAATATCTTTTGTAGTTTAATGAGTTTTTATGATTGTTTTTACCGTCGAATTGATATAAACATTATCTGTTATAATAAAATAAATTTTTGGTATAGTAGATGATGTAAAAGATGTACATACATTAAATATAATAACATTTGAATTTTTCAGCAAATTATCGTTTGATTGTATTGTCCAATGTATTCAAAGTATTATAACAGCTTAAAAATACATTTTGATACAGTGCGTAGTTTTGTGATTGATTCGAGGGTATTTTTCTTAGCAGTAATGAATATTTCATCTTTTGAAATTATCTAGCAACTATGAGTGTCTTATTGGTACTATGGTTTATATATTTCAAAGCTTTGATGGTAATATCTCGTATGAGTTCAGAAGTTCTTTTTATTCTCTTCTTTTTTCAATTTTATTCTATTTTCTTATTCATTAGCATCTGTAAAACAGTATATTCATGATATAATAAAAATAGATATTTTGAAAAAAGTTCAACTCAACATGAAACTTTCCGTAGTTAACTTGATATGTTGCAATTTGTCTTAAGTATTCAATCAAACTAAAATAAGCTTTGTTTTAGGGAGTCTTGCAAATCACTCCAAGCGAATTTTCGAAATAAATATTCAAACAGGATATTTAAATAGACATCTTGTTGTATCAGAAAACATCGATAAAGTATGGATGTGAATTGTGTTTCATAAGCTAAAATGAAAGGTTATATATTTTATTAGTAAAAAAAAAACACATGTTCAGTATTTTGCCGAAAATTTTTATTTACCAAATAGCTCATTCATTTGGCTTAATCAAATTCCCATTGCTATCATCAATAAACTTTTCGACTAACGACTTTGGATTATATCAAAACCTTTCTAGTAACACAAAAACACATACAATTAACTACAAATGACTTAATATATCAAAGCACACTGTTTTCCACCCTCTCCCCACACCCATAGTTTACTCTCGAAGGTCAAAAGTTTCTCAAAAAGTTATGCACATACGATCTACTTCAAATAAGCTAAATTTTTTCCCGTGAAATCGAAAGAAGTAAAGTGATTTTGCGTTGGAGACTTGCTCATCCTTAGATGACTCAGACTAGAATAATATTAGTGTTAAAAAAAGACTCTCATTGGATTTTTCACATTCGTCTGTATTACTCATGTTGCTTTAAAGATAAATTTTAATAGTGATATAACGTCAAAGATAATGCATTCTAATTAATTATAAATCATTCAATTGAAGGAGAATCATCAACTGAATATGATTAAATCAAAATTCTCGATAACTTGTCTCTTGACCAAGTAGTTACAAACACGCTGAAATAGATTCAAATTTTCATGTATAGTTAATAATGTTGATTATTCGTTGTTTTTTTGAAAACTACTACGAACATGAAAACGTGATTCAAACAAAATATTAACAACATTTTCAATGTTGTGCACAGAAATCTCTTCGAAAGCTAGTCAACAGAATTTCCTCTGTCACATAAAGGGTGTTTCGGAAGTTCTGAAACGATTTTAAAATTCACCGTTCTCGCATTCTACAAAAGCAAATTCGTTGAAACTTTGGTAGATTTTTGTACATATATAGTACTACATAATTACAAAGTTTGACGTCTATAGGTTGTACTATGGATGAGAAACTGTAACAACACTGGCATGTACTATTTTTTAAATTTTCCTGGTCATCTTCGGTGGTGTGCAACATTTTTTTTATTTCGTCTATATCTTCGCTTAGATAAATGATAAAATTTTGAATTTTTCTTTAAAAGATGCGCCATGAAAAGCTCTACAAAAACTGCAATAACAAATCCCTATTGATTTGTGTTAATGGTTTCTGCCATACTCAAAATGAAAAACCTACATGGTAGTACTACTTCTCACCATATTGTGCGTAATAAAAAACAAGTTTGAAAGACTGTTTTGCTTTCCAATAGGAATTTGTTTATACAGCTTTTGTAGAGCTTTCGACGGTGCATCTTTTGAAAAAACAATCAAGATTTTATCATTTTCTCGAGCTGAGATACATGCAAAACAAAAAGGTCTTCCAAATTTTTTTTCTATTACGCACAACATGGTGAGAAGTAGTACTATCATGTAGGTTTTTCATTTTGTGTTTGGTAGAAACTATTAACACAAGTCAATAGGAATTTGTTATTACAATTTTTGTAGCGCTTTTCACGGCGCATCTTTTAAAAAACATTCAAGGTTTTATCATCTACCTAAGCCGAAATATAGATATTTTGGCAGACCCGGAATACAGGAAAATTTAAAAAATAGTACATCATAGTGTTGTTATAGGTTCTCCTCTATAGTACAACCTACAGACCTCAAACTTTGTAGTTATGTGGTACTACATATGTGCAATAATATGCCAAAGTTTCACAGAGTTTGCGTTTGTTCAATGCGAAAAGGATGAATTTTAAAATCGTTTCAGAACTTCCGGGACACCCTTTATATATAATGTTCAGTGTGTATTTCTCTGTGCCGGGTCAAAGGTTAAAGGTCAAAGTTGAAAGGTTAAGAATTCTAGAATTTTCTAGAACGTTCGAAAATGTGGTGTACTTCTATAAGTTTCCAGAATGTTCTAGAGCTTTCTAGAACATTCGCGAAGGGTTCTACGGTTGCGTAAGAAGTTGGGTTAAGGGTCAAAGGTCAGAGGTCAGATAAGACTATAATGGGAAGGCTGTAAGGGCTGTGATATATGCGGGCACTCGTGGGTCCTCAAGGGCTACTATATGAAAGTACTCACAGGTCCTCTAGAGCCAATATATGGCGATACCCATAGGTCCTCAAGGGCTATCATATGGGGGTATCTCTGGGTTCTCAAGGGCAATTCCATGCGAGTACCCGTAGGTCCTCAAGGGCTATTGTATTGTGGTACCGATAGGTCCACAAGGGCCACAAGGCTATAACGGAGTAGGGGATAAGCAAATAAGGATATAAGGGTAAAGGGGATAAGAGGCTAAGGCTACATGGGTATAAGGGATAGAGTTAAAAGAGTATAAGGGGATAAGGGTATATAGTATAAATGGATAAGGCTGGAAAGGATATAAGGGATAAGGAAATAACGGAATTAGGCTATAAGGAGTACTACAACAAGAGTATGATTCTACAAGGGTATCAGACTATACGATCTATATATATAGATAATGCGAACTGGGTTTTTGTCTATTACCAAATCAAAGCTAAAGGACAGAAGTGTAACTTCACAGGAAAAAAAACAGCCGTGCAGTATGCACGGGCTCTCGCTAGTTATAAATAATATACCATTAAGAATATCTTCTCTTATCATCAATGTATATTCTTCATTTCGAATGCACAAGTATACATTACGGACTAAGCAAATAAGAACTTTGGAAGTCTTCTTTGCTGAATATGACATCGTGTGTTGTCATTCAATATCCTGTAATACAACTAATGATAGTACAAATTTGTTTCATTGTTGCTTGTAATTGGACGTCAAATAGAGAAAGACATTAAATCATCATATAACAAAGATGTGTCATCAGCAGTAAATAATGCTAGTACAAGGACAGGGTGATATTCAAGTAAATCTTTTATTTAAACATATCGGTTTCGTTATTAGTCACTTCGAAAAAGAAAACTTATTGCACGCCATCAATATCGACAGAAAAAAACAAAGGCATGCAAGAATGCATTTTTTGTGCAACAATAAAGAATATAAGAGAATGGAAGTAATATTATCTAACGGAAGAAAAAAAGGAAGTTATTTTATTCAGTCACTATTATCTCAACGTGATGATTCATCTTCATTGTCGAATTCAGATTGTGGACGGATTTTATTACGACGATATTTTGCTGCTTGTTCCATAATTGATGTAACATTAAGAGAACTTGTTTTAGTTGTCACAATTGCTTTCTTTTCTTCTTTTTTACGATTATTCAATTGAATACCTACAAAAAAAGAATAAAAAACAAAAGAATGATGTAATTTACTTTTTTTGATTTCTTTCAATAAATTAGAATGAAGATCACCCATAATATATGGTCGTTGATCTTGAAATGACGTTTCGGATGTAATGATGTAACAGAAATATCATCACGTTGAGATGATGATCCATTATTACTATCTGAATTAGTTTTTATTGTTGGCGGTGTACTTGTCGTCGAAGATCGCATGACAAATGATTGAATATAGTTGAATTAGGTAAAGATGGTGCTGATGGTATATTTGGTGGCATTGGAGGTAAATTATCAGTCACTGAAATAGTCGCAAGTTTTGGCACACCTGTATTCACCGGTAAAGGTGGGGCCAGTGGAGATGGAGGTGGCGACGGAGCACTAACTGATGGTCTAGCAATTGCTTGTTTTATCGGATGATATTGTGTCATACAGAGGTGCAGAATCTACCCGTGTGCGGTAACGCGTGGTGGGGGAAATTTTTGAAAATTTTTTTAAGTCTAGGAAAGTTTCGAAAGGTAACTTTTTCCCATGAGAAAAAAATCATAAACTGTATTGTTGCTACCTATACTGGAATGCTCCTCCGTTGCATCTCGCTGATTCATTTATCAAACATTCACTGGATGATTACTTTCGCAGGAAGAACGAGAAAAATTGGTTATTTTATAAAGAGAGTGAACAATATCAAACATGGAAACTTATATCATCTGGCTCCGTTGTACTAAATCATTTGAGAAAAAAAAACAAGTACCAATATTTCCAGAATCAATCGATTATTAATAGAACGGAATTGTTTTTTAAAATCACCCTATTTGTTTTAAGTAGTTCTTTTTCGATGCCCTTTGTTTATAGATATATAATCTACAGAAGGCCATGCTCTTTTTTTATTTTTCTAACTGGGGAAATTTTTCGAAAAAATTTTAACGGTGATGGAAATTTTTCTTTTTTACGGCAGATTCTGCACCTCTGGTGTCATATTATGATTAGGTTCAAATTGTGATAATAATGCTGAAGATGGTGGTAGAGCTTGTCAAGTAATTATCGGTGAACATAGATTAAGTCTTGGTGATGGTTCTGCAGTATGTCCATTTAATGGAGATTTTGGTGTACGTGTACTATTAAAATTCATTGTCATTGATTGTTGTTCACGACATGATGAAGATGATGATAATGTTGGACTACCATATTGTACTAAATCTGAGTGTTGATAATGATTATTATTTGGATATTATAAAAGAAGATGATGATTTGTTGGTGAATAAACTCAGGGGTTGCAACGAGGGGGTATCAAAGAGAAGGATTTTAAGAAGGAATTTTTAAAAGAAAAAGTAGGAAATTCGAGAAAAAGAAGGAATTTTTTCAAATATATTGTTGTAAGATTAAAATGAAGGTAAATCAAGCAAGCATAGAATAGAGCTGAATTTTAGATTTTACTTTTGCTCGAAGTAAAATGAGCCGCCGTATTCATTGAAGACACGCTGAAAACTCTAAACTAATTCGGCTATGTGATGAATTATTGTAGAAAAGTTCCAGATGACGGTCTTTTTGATAATATCTCGTTATGACAAGTAAATGTTGCTGTTACTGTCTTTTTGTCCAAAAAAAGATTTTTCTTCACTTAGTTTGGCAAAAAGTACTGATATGAGAAGATTGTTGTTTAATTTGACTTTTGTATTTTACATGTCGCCTCTTCTTCGAACAAAATGAATTTTATGAAAGAGAGAAATCAATTTACGTAAACAGATGACATTAATTCAAAGAATGAGAGAGAGTAAACATATAAAACAATGGCAATAATTGACTTATGCTCCAAACAGACAGAAAAAAATAAGGTGAATTGAAACTGAATTGACGAATTCATCGTCTAGAATAGATAATTTCAGTCAGAATAGATGAGCCATGTTCTTTATTTCAACTTTAATTTAATTCACTTTTTTTAGTTTGTTTGGGGCCTTACATGAATAGTCAGACAAAAATAAAACTATATGTTGCATAACAATGTCTCATTCAAATAATAAGAACAATGCACTGTCACACGACGGTCTGTTCCGCTCATGAATGGGAAGGAGATGTTCTCGTTACAAACACGTCAAATTGAATTGCACTTTTATGTGTAAATGAGCACACGTTTGTTCCAGAAAAGAATAAATATTCCATACATTTGATAAAAATACGAAAACATATCAAATGCCGAATGATACTTCTTTTTCATCAAAATGATTACAAAAAAACGATTCTACAGGCAAGCTATGCTCCATTTGGTTACGCCCAGGCAAAGAAAAAACTACATTTCTGTGTACTGTATGTAACATCGAGCTGAGCTGTGCCAATGGAGGCTGGATTAACGTGAAGAATCATGCAGAACGACCGAAGCATATGCAACATCTGAAAGACGTCATGGAATCTCGTCAACTTATTTCTTCTACCACATCATTACCATCTACAAGTATTAATTCTACTGAAAAACAGTCTTCACATACTAATTCATCGATATCAACGAACAAATCGTCTTTCGTCGTATTGAACAACAATACAGATCGAGCGTTGACACACGATGAAAAGGGGACTCGCGCCGAATGTTATTGGGCAATGGCAACAATTCATCTAGGCTTCAGTTATGCTTCATCCAAAAATATTCCTGAATTATTTACATTGATGTTTCCCGACAGTAAAATAGCTGCCGATTATGCAATGAAACATCGAAAACTTTCGTATGTGATATCACATGGAACTGGTCATTTTTTTATACGTGAACTTGTTAAAGATGTTAATAAAGCTCCATCCTACTCGTTACTTTTCGATGAAACTACTATTGTTGGAGTACGAAAACAATTGGACTTACATATTCGATATTGAAGTGAATCCAAGCAGTGTGTTGTTACACGTTATTGGAAAAGTATTATGCTTGGGCATGCAACAGCAGACATCATTAGTCGCCATATACTCGATTCATTAAAGTCCGATGCAATCGATTTGGATAAACTTCTTCAATTGGGTGAGTAAATCTTTTTCTTATTTACATAGATTTCCTTCTGTCCTTATAGGTCGTGATAATCCCAATGTTAATAAAGCGGTTGAAACTATGATTGACAAAGAACTACGATCTGAGCGAGAAAAAAAGTAAGTATTTCAATGCAGAAGCAGGAGAAAGATTATTTCCATGTTTTATATTTATTAGAACTGGACGTGCAGCAGCCAATGGATTGGTTTCTATCGGATCTTGTCCACTTCATGTCATTCACAATACGTTCAAACATGGTTTTACACGAAATGAGCGGCAAGTTGAAGATATTCTATATGAATTTTGGTTTTTCTTTTCTAGATCATCGGCCCCTCGTGAAGATTATTTAAGTGTAGCTGAATCTATTGGTGATAGCGTTGATCGATTCATAAAACGCTTTGTTATTACTCGGTGGATAAAAGTCGGTCCAGTTATCGAACGAGTTATTGATCAATGGTCAATTCTTAAAGAATACTTTCTTGTTTATTTACCAAAAATTGATAAAAATATTATTAATAATGATAGATGGCAAAGAATTAAGAATTATCTCGACCAACAGCAAACATTTGTTCGTTTTCAATTTGTTCTTTATGTGTATCGACATATATTCTCGAAAACTTTAACATGGCTTCAGCAAGACGAACCGCTAGTCCATATGTTATTCGAAGAATGCAGTAATTTATTTCGTAATGTATTGATTAGTTTTATTAAAGATGATTTAATAATGAATAAAACTGTAAAACAATTATTTTCGATTACACTTGATTCTCAAGCGAATCAAAAACCAGATTCAAAACTCGAAACTGATGAAACTACACGAAACGAACTTAAAGAAATGTCAACTAATGACAAAGCCACGTTTTTCAAAGATGCTCGTCTCATTTATTTAACCATAGCTGTAAGCATTCATCAATAACTTAATGAGATTGAAATTGGTAGAACATTTTGAACGAAATATCTCGGTAAAAAGAAAAAGAATTTATTGCATTTTCTGTAATCGAACACTTTCACTAAGAGTAAAGATGCATCATAAGAACTACACGAAATCCAGCTGATAAGCATGCCTATTAAAGAGAAAGTGCTGCGAAAGCTATAGCTTATTAAAATGTCACATTATCTGATTATCTTTCTTCCATTATTTTAGCAAGAGCTAAAACGTACATTCCCAGGTCAATGATTCCGGACAACAGATCCTGCAGAAACCGGCAGGAAAATGAGGGAAAATTCACCGTATCCTGCAGGAAAACACCGGAAGTCGCCGGAACAGGGTGGTAATATTTCGGCCGGAAATTCTCCGTATTTTTTTCCGGTGACTTCCGGTCAATTATCTCCCGTTCCCTGCAGGAAGTTGGCGGAAAGTCGCCGAAAAAACTCCAAAAATTTTCCGGGCGGAATACTGCTACCCTGTTCCGGCAACTTCCGGTGTTTTCATGCCGGAATCGGCCCGTACTTTTCGACCTGGGTTGTCGTTGAACAACGAATTTTTACAACATGTTCGATTTATTCATCCACTTTTACGGCAGCACGAATCTACTCGTAATAGTATGATGATTGTGGCCCGTGAATTACCTCATTTATTGTCCGACGATGATCTTGATCAATTGAATTCTGAGTGGCGTTTATACGTAAACGAAACCATTCCAAATGAATGGTACGAACACAATAGCGTCGGTGTTGATTCTCAAGAGATCATCAAGTATCGTCCTGTCGATTATTACTGGAAACACATCTTTGCAATGAAGAACAGTTCAGGTGGTACCAAGTTTCTTATATTATCTAAACTTGTCAAGAGTATTTTATCATTATCACATGGAAATGCCGACGTCGAACGTGGCTTCAGCGAAAATGCGTCGCTCGTTAGCGATGATCGATCGTCTTTAAGTAAGACAATTAATTAATAACTAATTATTATTAATGTGATTGTTACTTGGCAAGTTCCTATTTGTAAAGGCCTTCTCGACAGTGTCAAAGAGGCAAAGTCTCGATATCATGCTGATCAGGAAAAAATGCAACGATTTCTTAAAGAGAAGGAAGAAGCTGAAGCTGCTGCAAAATGACTCAAGGACAAAGAACTTCTTTTAATTGAAAAAGAATAGAAACTAATCGATGAACGCAAAGTCTTACAAAGTGATTTAGATAATGCGTCGAAAATGCTTGACGAAAGTAACTCGAGTCTTGAAGCTGCTGTTGCAACCAAGAACTTTGGTGATATCGAAGTGGCACAATTACTCATTGGAGGTGCCAACAAGAAACTGGATGCGTTAAAGACGCAACTCAATGATAACAGCGAACAGATGAATCAACTTCGAAAGAAAGTGAAAAAATGAATAAAGATATAACATTAAAAAAGTTGAAATATATAGATCAGTAGACTTGTAAATAAGTAATTTATATGTTTTGAAAGAATGATTGTTTCAATAAATATTCTTTTCCACATATGCAAAAAACTTTACAAAGTACGTATCCTGTCGTGGATATAAACATTCTCCTAGCATAACAGATAAAAACGAAGGAAAAGAAGGATTTTTATGAAAAAGAAGGAGAAAGAAGGATGGTCTTCACAAAAAAGGAAAAAAGAAGGACTTGTGCGAGGCCTGTAAACTTGTTGTTGTTGTTGTGAACGAATATTAACATGAGCAACAGATTTATATTCTCCACGATGACGAATAAGATCTTGAGGACTACGATATTGTTGTTCTTCAGATGATTGCTTAATAATACCAGATTGAGATGATGAGGTAGAATTTGAAGCATAAATAGATTCTTGATGATATAATTTAGATCCTTTCTAAAAAAAGAAGCGGAAATTTTTTTTTCCATAATAAATTATTGTCTACACCGATGATCGAAATCGTTCATGTTTACTAGATCGATGTGCATGATGATTTTGTGGAAATTAAATCATAGATTGCATCTATAAATTAAAATAAATGATGAACCAGTATAAAATTTCATTGAATGACGACCATCATCCCTACAAATAGAAAAGAAATTTTTTTTTTATTCAAATTTTTCAGTTTAAAAAAACTAATCGATAAGGATTAAGTAAATGAAGAGCAGGCTCTGGCTCAGCTTGTTCATAAAGTGATTCTAGCATTATTGCACGATTAACCACTTGTTGATCAATACGAGTCACACTGACAAATGGTTTTCGATTATTTACATCTTGAATAATTACTAACAAAAAAAACTTTTATTTCTTTTTTTTCTGATATAATAAATTTCAATTAACCTTCTTCAATATTTGAATCAAATTGTGTTACTTTAAGTTTAGGTCTTTCAATGCGACCATGTAATGTTTCTGTACGTTGAAATATATGTCCAGCATCTGTAATTAATTCATTAAACAAATCTTGTGCAAGAGAACTTAATGAACTTAATTGTCGCATTACATTTGCTAGAGCATGATTAGTTACACATTCAAGTTCATTTGGAATATCATTTGGTACTTGTACTTGACTTAAATTAATCGGTTCAACTGTCCGCTTATTAAACGGCATTGCATTTAATGACCGATAGACAGTCTAAAAAATTAAGACACTTAGGTAAGACATTTCAAGTGTCTATTTTGCATTAATTTTGCTTGCGCGTCTAAAATCGGTAATCCGTTGACACATAGTGCGTCTTACTGAGCCAGGTGGTGCGTCTTGTTTTTAGACATATGATATGTGTCAGTAAGACGCGTCACGTGTCAATGGATAACCTATTTTAGACGCTCAAGCAAAAGTAAAGAAAAATAGACACTTCAAGTGTCTTGTAAGACGCATGGCATTTTTTAGAGTGGATTGTTTGATTTTAACATCAAAATTAGATTGTTTCGAAGCATTTAGAGTAAATATTAAAAAAAGCTTGATTTCCATCTGGATTTATTATTTTTTTTAATTAAAAATCATCTCGGGATTATTTATACGATGTATGTTGAACCTTCGTCAGATATTCGAATTGAAACACGTTGGGAATATTCTTGAAAGTGTTAATGTCCCATCATTAGGTGGCCATGCTCTTCGTTTTTCAATTGGTGCTGATGATCGACAAGTGATACAACCACCAGCTAGTTCAACAGTACCTTGTACTGGTCTATCTGTATATAATCTTTTTAAAGAATTAGGTAAATTGATTTTTTTTTCATAGGAAAAGAACAATGTTCGTTTTGTTTGAATAGGAATTGATCATGTTGTTACTATATTTTGTGCTGCATTGTCAGATATAAAAAATTTATTCTTTTCAAGAAGTGTTTGGAAATTAACTGAAGCTTGTAAAGCTGTTGAATCTCTTTTATTTCCACTTAAATATTGTTATAAATTTATTCCCGTGCTTCCATTTAATTTAATTGAAGTACTTGATGCACCAACACCTTTTATTATTGGTGTTCATTCAGATCAAAAATTACAAGCATTAGCAAATGTAAAGATTTTTTTCTTTTGCGTCTTTTTTCTTCTATTTGAATTTTTATTTAGCTCGATGATTTATGAATTGATTTATATGTAGCAAGTGTTCATTTAACAGAACATGTTAAACTTACAGCAATGCCTGAAAAACCATATAGTCGTATTTTATCTTCATTATTTCAAATAAATAATATTTATTAATAAAAATCTAAAAGTTAATTTTTTAAATTTAGATTCTTAAACCTGATATTCATACAGTTGATTTAGCATTTCCATTAAATGGTCGAATGAGTTTAAAAACAGATAGTGGAAGTCAAATTGTTGCTGATTATCCAAAACATAAAGATGAAACAAATCAAGAAAAACAAATTCGTGCGATTTTTATTCGACTTTTTTCAGAATTATTTGCTGGTTACCGTTCTTGCTTATTAATTATTCGAATTAATACAAAACCAGTTATTTCATTTCATGAAGTAATTTTAAACTTTTTTATGATGATTTTCAATGAAATCTTTTTTTTTCTAACTGCAAGTTTTCTTGGTCATCATCGATTAGTTAATGATGAATTTATGTTACGTGTAATTGATTCAATGGCATTTCATAAATTTATTGAAGAACGTGGTCCACCTTTTCGATCATGTGATATATTTGATGAAGTTTATGCATCAATTTATGATTAATTAAAAAGACAACATGATTCTTATTCAACAGCAGTTTTGGAACATATTAAAGAATTAGCAAATCAACTTTTATTAAATGTAAAAAACAATTTTCCAAGAATTTTTTTAGAAATTTTTTTTTATTTTAGGAAAATCCATCACCACAACAAACTTATACGTAACAAGTCCCACAGCCATCACAAGCGAGTTGTATGCGAGATAATTTATCAGAATTTCCACATTTGGATAAAGAATTACTTAATGCAGCAATTAAAGAAGGAATTAAAAAATCACGAAATAGCAGACCTTATTCAACTCGAGTTAGTCAACCATGTATCGTTAAATTGGATACACCAATCCATGCACTTAATGGCCGAACTGATAGTTCACTATCAGTACGTCATTTAGAAACATATCACCCCGGAGGGGTTTTGAAGGGTAGGTGTTCGGTGAATAAAATTTTATTCACCGAACACCTACCCTTCAAAACCCTCCGGGGGGATATGTATTAAAACAATGTGTTGGTTATATATTATAAGAAGTGGAATTAGAAATAATAACCTTCTTACAAATTTTTATGTAGAATTTAACAATTAGAATTTATATGATATTTTAGGTATTTATCAGCATCATGAATTATCACATCCATTTTCATCATCAAGCGCTGTTGGAAATAATTCAGGTCCACAATATCAAACACATGAAGGTGATTTAGGAAATCGAGGTCATCTATTAAAACAATGGAAAGAACGATGGTTTGTTCTTGATTTTGTTCCACATGAAGTAATCATGCCGTTCTGTTCTATTTTACATTTATTTCTTCTATTCTAGCATCGATATTATGATAATAGTGATGATCAAACAGTAAAAGGTGTTATTCTTTTAGCTGATACTGTTGAAATTCTTCCTTATGATGGTTCATTTCTAAATCCATTAAGACGATTTGATAGTCGAGTTGGTTTTGAAGTAAAAATATTAAATATATTTTTTATTTAAATTATTCTCTTGATTTAGTTGCCTACAAATCGTCGTATATATAATTTTATTGCTGCAACTGCAACTGTGAAAGATGCTCAAAGTTGGATAGAAAAAATCAAATCTTGTCTTCTTAATTCATAGAAAAAATCAAATCTTGTCTTCTTGATTCATAGAAAAAATCATTTCAAATCGAATCTCATCAATATTATCGTCATGTTTTTTTGTATGCAATAATCTCTTTCTTGTTTTCGCTTTGCATGAAATGAAAGTTTTATATCTATTTTTTCCTCGCTATCACTTGTCTTTATCTATCTAAAATTGATTTCGATCTTATACTTTTGTTTTTTGATAATATTTTTGCACAATGCACACAACTGTCTGTTATATGATCGGCGAAGCATATATTTTAAAACATGTATTTTCTTTATTAAATCACATAAAAAAAAGATAATAATCATCATGGTGTATCTTGAAATATTTTTAATATTTTTTCTTGATTGATTTCTAAAAAAAATTAATAAAGCAAAATAACGTATACAAGATATTTTACTTTTATTTTCTTCAAGTACTTTAATGTAACCATGAATTTCACTGTCTTCTACGAGTAATTTAGAAATTTCTCGTTTCTTTTTTTTCTTTTCTTCCACATTGATTTGTTTGGCTTTAACCAACGAAAATAAATCACTTTCTTTTTTCGTAAGGCCTTGTCTCCACTAGAAAAATAATACGGTATTAACTTCGTATTAAAATCATGCGTGTCTACACTTGGAAAGTTAATACATCAATCAGAATCTAGAAAAAAATGTCGCTTTCATTAATTCAATTGGAGCACATGAACCTAATGAGACTTTGATTGGTGCATTAACTTTAATTCGCTTTCGAAAGCGCATTAAATTTAATGCGCTTTTGAAAGTGCATTAAATTTAATGCGCTTTTGAAAGTGCATCAAATGCGAATTAAATTTTCCACGAATCAAGTTTCTTAATTCGGTATTAAATTTNATGTAGTTTTTTTGTTTAGAAAGAAAGGAAAGGACGGCAACAAAAGGGAGGTTCTTAGAGAAGGGGGAAGGGGGGGGGAGGGGGGGGGGGGGGGTACCGAAAAGAAGGATTTTGAGAAGGAATTTTTGAAAAAAAAAGAAGGATATTGCAAAAAAAGAAGGAAAAGAAGGAAATTGAAAAAAAAAGAAGGAAATTTTCCAAGCGTACTGTTGCATGATAAAATTTAATTACACGAGTATTGATGTTTATACATTATTTCTACTGTCTTGCCATGCTAGAAGAGACCAATGCTATGAGTTTGAAGGAAGACTGACCAACCTCAGTAGATGATCGTTTATTAGATTTTTGCGAGTCACAAGATCTTTCTTTCATATGTGATCAAGAATATATTGAAGAAAGAAATTTAATTGATATGGAAAAGACAAAATTAACCATTAAATAAGAGAAGGAAAGAAAGCATATAAAAGAGAATAACAATAAAAAATATTAACGATCAATCAAACAGAAAGAAGTTGGTTCCTTTTCTTATACTGTTCCTTCAAAGTGATGGAGCCGATATGTTCTTAACACACGGCGGTATAAGCTATCGCTAAATGAAAACAAATGCCTTTCATTGTATACATATGTAATTTAATTACGACGTTGATAAACGATAGATGCGAATATATATTTAGTGAAAATAGTACAAAGTATTCAACATTTTTGATAAAAATAAGAACACGTCATACAATGCCGAGAGACACTACTTTCTCGATAAAATGGTTACAAAAAACTGATTCAACAGGCAAGCCTTGTTCCATTTGGCTACGGCAAGGTAAAGAAAAGAGTACATTCATATGTACCGTATGCAATATCGAACTCAGCTGTGCCAATGGAGGTTGGACCAACGTGAAAAATCATTCTGAACGACCAAAGCATCTGCAATGCCTTAAAGAAGTTTTGGAATCGGGGCAGCTTATTGCCTCTACTACAAAATTACCGTTTATTAACGATAATAACACCGAAAATCAGTCTTCTAATGCTTCTTCATCAACAACAACAAACAATTCGACTTTCATAGTACTCAACAGCAATACCGATCGAGCTTTGACTCATGATGAAAAGGTTCTTCGTGCTGAATGTTATTGGGCTATGGCAACAGCACAGCTTGGATTTAGTTATGCGGCATCACAGGATATTCCTGAATTATTTGCAGCAATGTTTCCCGATAGCAAGGTGGCTGCTGATTATGCAATGAAAGATCGCAAGGTGTCTTATATCTTGTCTCATGGAACTGGCTATTTTTTTGCTCGTGAACTTGTCAAAGACGTACTTAAAGCTCCAGCGTACTCGTTATTATTCGATGAAACTACTATTGTTGGAGTAAGAAAGCAATTGGACTTACATCTTCGTTATTGGAGTGAGCACAAACAATGTGTTGTAACACGATATTGGAAGAGCATTATGCTTGGACATGCAACAGCAGACATAATCAGTCAACATCTACTTGATTCATTAAAATCTGACGGAATCGACTTGTCTAATCTTTTTCAACTGGGTAAGATAATCTTTGTGTTATATACTATGTACGTTTATTTTTGTTACAGGTCGGGACAATCCAAACGTCAACAAAGCAGTAGAAAATACAGTGGAGAAGGAAGTCCGATCAGAGCGGGGGAAAAAGTAAGTATTGAATGCAACAGCAGAAGCAAGACTGCAATACTATATTGTTTGTTTATTTAGAACAGGGCATGTATCAAACAAAGGTTTAGTTTCTATTGGACCTTGCCCCCTCCATATCATTCACAATGCATTTAAACAAGGTTTTACACAGAATGACTGGCAAATTGAAGAAATTTTATATGATTTTTGGTTTTTCTTTTCTCGATCATCAGCTCGTCGTGAAGATTATTTAAACTTAGTAAAAACTATTGGTGATGGTGTTGGTCGTTTTATGAAACGTTTTGTTATCACTCGTTGGATTGAAGTTGGTCCAGTTATTGAACGAGTAATTGATCAATGGCCAATTCTAACTGAATACTTTCTCGTTTATTTGCCCAAAATTAACAAAAAGATTATAGATGACGACAGATGGAAGCGAATCAAAAAACAACTCGAACAAAAACAAACGCTCGTACACTTCCATTTCATTCTTTACGTATATCGTCATATATTTTCGAAACCTTTGACGTGGCTGCAGCAACAACAACCACTGGTTCATATGCTCTTCGACGAATGCAGTAATTTATTGAAGAATGTACTAAACAGTTTTATAAAAGACGATTTATCAACAAACAAAACTGTACAACAACTGCTCTCAATCTCATTTGATTCTCAAGCTAATCAAAAACCAGATTCAAAACTTGCTATTGGTAAAGTCACACGTAATGTATTCAATGAAATGGCAACAAATGAAAAAAACATGTTCCTGAAAGATGTTCGTGATATTTACATCATAATCAGTGTAAGTATCCATTCATAACATACTTAGATCAAATAAAAGCAGACCTTTTGTTTGGAACTATTGAGTGGAGAGAAGAATGTTACTTTATCTGCTGTAATTGAGTCGATTCTTTGACACTACACATGCATCAAAAGAACTCTTCGAGATCGATCAAACAACATCAATCTTCAAAGAACAATGAAATAGAGGCCATCACTGAGAGAAAATGAACAGGATAAAATGAATAACAGAGAATTTAAAGGTCATACAGGAAACTCTACGTAGAGAAGAAAAGGCTTCGACTGAGTTGAACGTACTTTGAACAATCGTTCTCTGCTTATATTTACATTAGAATAATATTTGAATGATTTTTTCTAAAAAATGTTTCACCAATCCATGGTTAGGATATTAGATTATTTTATTTTATTTCTTTAACTTTTCTAGCGAGAATTAGCACGTACATTACCATTAACTAACAATTTTTTACGAAATTTACAATTCATCAATCCACTTCTACGTCATCACGAGTCTTCACATGACAGTTTGATGATTGTTGCACGTGATTTACCTCAGTTGTTCTCTAACAATGATCTTGATCAACTAAATGCTGAATGGCGTTTATACGAAAATGAAACTATTCCGGACGATTGGTATCTGCAGAAAAGTATCAATGGTGACCACTACGAAGTGATAAAGTATCATCCAGTCGATCATTATTGGAAGCATGTATTCAACATCAAGAATAATTTAGGTGTTCCAAAATTTGTCATGTTATCGAAACTTATCAAGAGTCTCTTAGCACTATCACACGGTAACGCCGACGTCGAGCGGGGATTTAGTGAAAATGCAGCACTAGTTACTGATAATCGATCGTCTTTAAGTGAAACATCTGTCAATGGATTACGAATAACAAAAGATGCTGTGAAATTCTATGGTCAAGGTAAAGTTCACGATGCAACTAATGCTGTCAAGTAACATACATAAGTAGAATTATTATAAATAAAACTGATATTTCATAGGTTCCGATTTGTAAAAGTCTTCTTGACAATGTCAAAGAAGCATATTCTCGATATCGGATCGATCAGGAGAAAATCCAAAAATTAATTAAAGAAAAAGAAGAATTGGAAACAGCTGCAAAATTACTTAAAACACAAGAACTTCTTTTAGTGGAAAAAGAACAGAAACTAATCGATGAACGTAAACTCTTGCAACACGAACTGAACAACGCGTCGAAAATGCTTGATGAAGGTAACTCACGGCTTGAAGCTGCTGTTGCAACTAAAAACTTCGATAATGTCGAAGTGGCACAACTACTAATCGGAGGTGCCAACAAGAAATTGGACGTTTTAAGAGCACAACTTAGTAATAATAGTGATCAACTGAATCAGCTTAGAAAGAAAATGAAAAAATGAATAAAATTATGGTATAAAAGATAAAATTGTTGGTAAATTTATAAATAGATATATTTATTGACTTGCAACTGTGTCCTTGTACATTTGTAAATAAATAATGAATATTAAATAAATTTGTAAATAAATAATTAATATTAAATAAATATTCTACAAGAATTATTGTTTCACTATATTCTTTAAATCATGTTATTAATGGATTTCTGCAATCATTGCACCTGTGCTATATTAAGTATATATGATATTACGTTGTGACAATGAAAAAAGAAGGAAAAGAAGGATTTTTATGAAAAAGAAGGACGAAGAAGGACGCTCTTAAAAAAGAAGGAAAAAAGAAGGAAAGAAGGACGGCTGCGAGGCCTGTTGTTATGATAAGACTAATGCCTAAAGAAACAAAAATACTTTTTCAAGTTTTTTTCAAAGAAAACTTTTTATATTTTTCCTCATATCAATTTTTGAAATGATATAATGCTCTGACTAAACAAATAACTCTATTTTTTTTCTATTTATATATAAAAGATTACGAATTATAAAAAAAAACAAAAACATTTCAATTGAAAAAAAACTGCAACGACACTCGAGACTTAAATCAAGACATAAAATTAGAAAATTTAAAGTTTAGAGTAAAGATGATATTGACTAATTATCGATTTTTTTCTATTAGAAAAATAAAAACTTTTTTTTAGAAGAACGAAGCAATTGATTTGTAGACTATTCTATTTAATTATTTAATTAGTTCGATTACAATTTCTTTTAATTCAAAAAACCAAAAAGAGAAGACATTCATATAAACGATTAAGTAAATTATTTAAATATATTATATTATAACCTGTAGTAAATTTAATTTTTTCTCCTGGTTGTACAATAGATTCTTTTCCATTTGTTATTGATGTCGTTCTTTTAAGTAAAAGCATAGATAAAGATGCATCTCTTACTCTAAACATATTAATTAATGGTGTCAGATTAACTTTTCCAAAAAGATCACAAGTAATAAGACATCTTGATTCAGTTCTAATACGGGAATAGTATGAACGAAGAATATCTAATGTACCTAATTTATCTTCTGTTTGTTGTTGATCATCACTTGTTGATTCATGATCTTGTCCATAAATAACAACTTCATAAGTTATATTTAATGATGAAAGATAATCATCAAGAACTTGTTGATATTGGTCAGATGTTAATATAAGTAATGGTGATGATGATAGTGATGAATGAGATTGAATTATTTGAAGATTATACCATATTAAAGGACGATTTCCAATAGATAATAAACATTTTGATATAGATAAATTTGCTGATAAATTATTATTTCCACCAGCATATAATATTACTGTAAATTCTTTCATTTTATTTTTATAAAACCAAAGAGCAATCTTTAACAAATAAATTTATTTAACTATTGAAACAAATATATTTTATAAACAAAAGAGAATAAAGAGATTTTGTAAATCATTTCATTTAACATCTATATTGAAAATTTGTTTTATAAGAAGAAAAAAAAACAAAAAGACAATATATTTATTTTCATAGGTGTGCTGGAAAAATGTCGAAAAGTAAATATTGAAGTGGGAGAATATTGAAATAGGAAAATATCGAAAAAAATGATGTCCCCAGTAAATGGTGAATCTAATCACATATAGTTCATTGTTGCTTTTCTTATAATTCTACTAGTGTAGAGTTTTAACCAGTAGTAATGACGATGACTAATACCTGATAAAAATTAAATAAAAGAGTTGAACAAAGAACTATTATATAACTAAAATTCTATTGTGATGACTGAAGCTACTGCATCTTCAACTGATGTAACTCAAGGAAAATCTCCAACTATTTCATTTATAAATTCAAATAGAGGAAAACCTTTACTTAATTTACTACAGGTTTAGGGGCTAGACCAAAACAAGCTAAAACAATTGCCATTGAACATCGTATAGATAATCTTGATGAATGATATTATGATGGTGCTATGACTGCTATAGAATACTTAGATGGTTTATCACTTACAGTTACTAAGTGAAAAAAATGATACATGATCGATTTTTTTTCATTATCGATATTTAATCACTGTTAGAATGTTAACACCAACGCATATAATAAAACATGTTCATTTCCATTCATAACTCTCTTACAAATTTACTGACTATTTTTCATGTCGATATTATTTTTTCGACATTTTTCCTTTCGACATTTTTACGGGCAACCTTTTCATACAATTCATAGAAATACTAATATGAAATAAAAATGATTATTTCATTTCTTATTGAAAGAAACAATAAATATTCATTTGATAAAGATAAAAAAAAATATATTCTAGATGATCTAAAAGCAAATGTAAACGAAGTGATTTTGTTTTTTTTTGTTCTTTATTTTAAAATAATAATAATAATAACAGAGAAAAAAATCCATTATTTTATTTTATTATGTGTCTTTTTCTTCTAAAGTTAAACACAAAAATGACAAGACACACAAAAGAAAGAAATGAATTGTCTTAATTTATGGTTTTTTTTCTAATTTAAATTAAAAATGGAATAATTGCTTTGCTTTGGATATTTATCAACAAATTCTTTTTTATAAGCTTGATGTTTTTAGTTTAGTTCATATAATCTTTGTACAGCTCCAGCAAAAGTAAATAAAAGTGCTGTTCATGTTTGTATCATTAATGAAAAACCTAACTACAAACCAATTTCATATGTATAATTAGGACATGAAACCAAATAAAACAAAATTTAAAAATGTTTTTTTTTTTTTTATTTGGATATGATATACGACGTTCATTTGTATCAGGTAGACGAAAAATCACGAAGAAGTAAATCACTTGATAAATTACCAATTTCATTTAACTTAAAATTTCCTTTTAAATAATAATTAATTTACTATAAAAATAGCTAAATCTAACTAAAATTTGAGTATAACCAAATGATATTGGAGTATATTTTGCATAATTAATAAAATATGAAACAAATTCAATAAAACTCGACTAATAATTACAAATCTATTAGAAAAATAAAACTTTGTATTATATTAAATTGAATAGATAAGAAAAGATAAATATATCACTTTAAATAAATAAAATTATGACATTCTTGCATGAGAAAAACGATGAACAAATATTGTTTCTAATATACGTTTTGCATAATGAAATATTCAACAAGCAGTACTCAAACTAAATAATTAATAAAGAAATTATTCTTTTTTTTTTCAAATCACATTAACTGAGCAGCAAGATGCATTAGTTTTGAAACAGATGTTGAAACACATATAAGACTTGGTCGAATATAAAATAATAATATTGATAAACAATGAAATTGCATATTCAGCAATAAATACCTTAGTAATAAATATTTATTTAAAAATAGATAAATATATGAAAGAGATTATTTACTATGTTCCATACAATTTGTGGTCCTAAATCTTTAAAATTAATTTTTCCAATTTTATCAACATTTAATTCGGATAGTTTTTGTGCAGTGTTTTTAATAGTAGGTGCCAGCCTAATAGACAAAGTGCTGATGGTACGTGAAAATTTGAACAAAGTACTTCGTTTGGCATTTTGCTAAAAAAAACAAAGTATCAGAATGGCACTTTGTTAAGTAAAAAAGCACTTTGCTTATTTGTTATGCCATTGTTTATAAATCATTTTTTCCCTCCTTCTTTTATTTTCACTTGTACATGAAGCTAAGATAGTTCTTTTTGTTTTGGATTAAATGTGTTCAACTAATTATGAGGATTGCTGTTGTTTTCCTATAGATAAAATATTGTTTTTTTTTACGGTCTTTTGACCTTTCTGTGGAGAGGTACGAATATCACAAATTTATGCTCCTTATAACACCCTCAAAGTGCACATAATCTTGTGATCCTCATTTTTTTTGACATTCACAGGACTAAAAGTAGTTCCAATTATATATTCTTGTTTCCGGTCACCTAGAGTATCAGCCCATATGGCATTGTCTAATATTCGATGACCTAGTAAAAAGATCTTCTTGACACACGAAAAAGTAATATTAAAATGTTGTACCGAAGGACGTTTTTTAAACCGAATTTCTACATTCTCTGATCCTGTGGGTTTTGTAGAGTAGACTTGACTCTACCAGATTCTATGTATGAGATCTCTTGCCCAATGGCAAATAGTTGAGAATAGAACTGTACACTTTTCCTAAGAATTACAGATGGTTTAAGCAGACTTCTTTTTTTGTCTCTTATATTGGAAAAATATTCCATAACAGAGGAATTCAATACAAACTGAAAGTCAATCATATAGTATTATGTTCCAAGTTACGATGCTTCAAATATCTGGAAAAAGTCTTATTTATATTAGGTGTGTGCTAATATGTGTTCACGTATTGAAAAGAAAATTGTACCGCTGGCGAGTAATTCATACGGAAAGTCGCCGATAATTTCATACTGATAGAATCGCTTCAGCTGATGTGCATTATATAGGGTGAAGCTTAACCAGTCCGTGAGCATTATAACAATCAAGGTTTACCCTTTATTTCTTGGAGATATTTGCTATCAACACATGGCTCTTAGAAACATGTCTAGAAATACGCTTAAGCTTGGAATCTGTATTTTATAAGTCTACAAAGGTGTAGATCATTATTGACTCCATAATCTTGTTCTCAACAGTTCGAGACATCTACGGATATATTTCTTCATTTACTTACGCACGTATAAAGTGTCGCATCAGAATTAGAAGAGACTATCTCCAAAGATTCTTCTCACTATGTGAATACTAGATGAACATGGACACGACATACACAAGATTTTATCTGATAAATCGAACAATCATAAGTTGGGATATAATACTATATGATTGACTTTCAGTTTGTATTGAATTCCTCTGTTATGGAATATTTTTCCAATATAAGAGACAAAAAAAGAAGTCTGCTTAAACCATCTGTAATTCTTAGGAAAAGTGTACAGTTCTATTCTCAACTATTTGCCATTGGGCAAGANCCAAATTTTCTCGACCAGAATTGGAATTCTTATTGTGTTGGAAGAAATTCTGATTCATATTGAAATCGTAATTTTGTCTGATACATAATATATATATATGTAATTAATCATCTATTTAATTCATGTTTAAATAATGCTAATCATCAATTGGTTTCGAATTGAAATATAAGGTCGACATGTTCATGAATAATTATATTTAATATTGAAGATAACATTTCGAAATTTATCAACAATCTTAAACGATTATTTAATAATCAAATGGAAATATCTGATTTTCTTTTTTTTTTTTTCGAACAAATATACAAAAAAAGAAAACAGAAACATACAGTTCTTTGCAAAACAGTTAGAACATAATATTTAAATATCCGAAGAAATAATAAAGTTAAATTCATAGATAGACACACTGTTAGAAAAAGAAAAATTCTAATCAAGATGTGTTTGTCGTTGATAAACGTGAAGTTTTTAATGATGGCGATGAATGAAATGTATCAATGACTTGTGTACGAAGTTGTTCAACAACATGACAAAATTTAACAGCTGGACCTAATTTAAATTCAAGTAAATCTTGAACTTTAGGTAAATCATCAAGAAGAAGAAGAGCAGCACCATCAATTTCCTTTTGTAATTTCAAAGAAAAAAATATTTTTTTAAATTAATAGAAAGAAAAAAAAATATATTTTTTTTCTTTACTTGTTCTTTAATAGTTTTTAATGCAAATGAACATCCAGATTGATGTAAATATGAGCAAACATCATTAACATTCCATGTAATCGGATTTCGTGTATCAATTGGTGGAATTGGAATTGATGATTGTATAATTGATGATATTGATTGTTGAATTTCTATTTTTGGAATAATTATATTCGAACAAGAAGAATCAATACCATTAACAGTTTGTGGCGAACGTCGTTTTTTCTTATTTTTATTCAAAGGAGAACATGGATTCGGTAAAATATTCATTGTTACTAATGGTGATAATGAACGTTTATTTCTTCCTATACGAGAAGGTTTTAATTCTAAATGAAAAACAAAATTTTCTTTTAGATAAACATTGTTTGTTTCTTTTCTCTTAATAAATGAAACCTTTAATTGGAATTTCTATTGATGATGAAGGTTCACTTTTAATGCTATTATGATCAATTAATTCTTGTTTAATTGTAACTGTTGATGTTACTTTTTGTTTTTTATTTGTTCTTGTTACAGTATGTGTTCGTGGTTCAATATGAAGACGAAAACCACGTGTTTTACGATCACTTCCAGGTATTGGTGTTATTACTGAAGAAATATCATTAGACAGAGTTTCTTGTGAACAATCTATTGATGATGAGTCTTCTACAGCATTTGTAGAAACAGTTGGAGAAACTGTATTTGGTTTCAAATGACATAATAAAGACTTTTGTCTACGTTGTCGATTTTGAGCAACACGAAGTTGAGTTCGTTTATGTTTAGAATGAATTGAAAGAGCTAATTAATATAAAACAAAAATAAAAATAAAACAAAATAAGAGAGAAACAACAGAATGGGTGTATAAGCTATTGAGCTTGGAATACAGAATATTTTAAGCCCCTTTATTAGTGATCCTATAAGGAAAAGTCAAGTGAGTCTTTCGGTAATAAATATAAAGAAAATTCCGCAGAATAGAGATAATCTTGACCGTAGAATATTCACAAATAGCCATTAGATATTCAATAAACTTTTGTTAATTTACTATTAGTACAGAACGTAGAATTTTTCGGTTCACATTGGTTACAAAGAGCATTACGTTTTATGTTGTTTCATATAAGAGTTACTATCATTTCATTATAAAAATCAATTATGTGAAATATTGTTTTTTATTTTGTATAGTTTAATAGTCAACAATTAAACAGTAATTACAGTCATTTAACATATGTTTCCTTTCAAGCTGTACTCTGCTATAAATCAGTCAACAGATCTAAGTCAAAGCTACAAAATGACATATAACGTATTCGATTCAGGCTTAGTCCAACATACGTAAAATGTGTATACAATGTTTGAGGATACAGAAAGAGTGCTTTTTTATTTTGTGCTGAGCACATATTTTATAAACGTCGTTTTTTATTTTTTGATAAATACGAGTAGTATACTTGAAATCAACGTGAAAAGATGAGTCGATCTATATACTTTTAAATATATTTCGAGTACTTTATTTTTTATGCGAAAATTTGAGGTCTCCCTCAGATATAGCCGAAAAAATGAACTCCATCAGAACATCTATATGACTAGAAACGACAACGCATATAGATCGATTTAGTTTTTCATGTTGATTTCAAATATACTATTCACATTTATTAAAGAGCTACTGACTCTCATGAAACATGATTATAACAAAGTAAAGCAGTGCTCTTTTTGTATCCTCGAGCATTACATACATATTTTTGTGTATGTTAGATGAAGTCTGAATCGAATGAATTATGTTATTTTGTAGCTTTCGCTTTAATCTGTTGAATGATGAATAACAGAGAGCAGATTGAAAGGAAAAATATGTTAAAGGACTCTAATTACTTTTTAATTGTTAGCTATCGAACATTGTTAAATAGAAGAATAGTATTTCTCATGATTGATTTTTATAATGATATAATAGTAGCTCTTATATGAAACGACGCAAAACAAAACGCTCTTTGTAACCAATGTGATTCGAAAAATTCTACATTCTGCACTAATAGTAAATAAACAAAAACTTAATGAATATCTAATGACTATTTGTGAATATTCTACTATTCAAGTGTCCTTCATTCTGCGAAATTTTCCTTAAGTTTATTATCAAAAGACTCGCTTGATTTTTCTGCACAGAATCACTAATAAAGCGGTTTAACATATTCTGTAGTTCAAAACAAATAGCCTATGCATCCCTACCCTTTATTACTATCTTTTTTTCTTGAAAAATAATTTAAACATACCGAAAGTATTTATTAATACATGACATTTATCTGAACAATTAGTTTCAATACGTTTCATACTGATAAAGTTTGGACATGCTTCTAATTGTGTACATATATGACGAATGTAGTGATAGACTAAATAAGGATTTGTTGGTAATGATATAGGACGTATTAATTTTGAAGATTTTTTTGCGGCTTTTATATATTCAGTTTTAAAATTTGATGTCGAATCACAATTTGATGTATGTTCAAGTCGACGCAAAGCTCGAAGAGTATTTGTTGATGTTGATGATGCTGACAGAAGATGATGAAACATATCAATAAGAACATGACGATAAGGCCCAGGCCCAAATTGAGATGGTATACGTGAAAGACGAGATGAACAAAAATGAGGACCAGAAAAACATCGAATATTTACATATAATGTTAATTGATAGATTTCATTTAAATATACTCGAGGAATTTTTGGATAACGAGTTACTGATGAGAATATACTACAAAAAAAGAAAAGGATTATTGATTTTTATCAATGAGATGTTTTCTATATTGTAGATTTTCAGTTAGTGTCCTAGCCTGGAATTTTATGAAAGATGATCTCAAAGAAGTATTGAAGTATAGGAGTATAAATTTAGACCTTCAGATCGTGACAAACGCTAGCAGTATTGTTCCGACGTCGCCAGAATTGGAAAGAGATCAATGAATCAGGAAGTAGATTAGAAGATTTTAGCTAAAATTATCTGACTTTGAGAGATCTCTTCAAGCTAATAACAGACCGTATACCAATAATATTGTATCATAGTATGTGAATTAGTTATTACATTTCTAGAACACTCAGTAAAAGGATAGTGAAATGTGTCCCAAAGTGGATTCAATAAAATTATCTTGCTGTTATTAGCAATAGCAGCTACATCGTGTTTCACTTTTTAATTCTTCAGAAATTACGCGAACAGTTTTTCCACTCGTAGACAATTTAAAGATCAAATATTTTTGAAGAGCAGAGAGCTATGAGCAATTTTTATTATTTTCTAAAAAAAAGTCTGAGAGGATAATAACTTTTGGATCATCTAGTAATTGTTATCGTCTCAACAACTCCGTAGGCAATTATTCAATGACCAGATATGCTACTGTTTTCAGTAAAAAAAAATCGAAAAATGATAAAAACAAAATTTTCAAACAAATTCAACATCAGTATTTATTGTAATCAATCGATTTACATTACTATTTATTTAGTTATATTGAATTCTAATAAAACTGTCATATGTTTCGTTCATTTTAGTTATATTTATCCTGTATAATTATACTGGGTTTTTAGTTAATTTTGTACCTCGCTTAAAATTGAAACAGTTGTTTTTAAGAATAGTAACTGCAAATGACACTATTTGAGAACATTAACAACTACAGTAATACTTCCTATATTGGACACCTCCGTATAATAACACTTTTCAAATACAGTGAAAATGCATCTATTTCTAGTAAAACTGTTTTTAGAAAAGACCTAACCTCCTTATAGTGTACATTTTTGAAAAGTTCGAAATGTCTAATATGGAAATATGATATTGTATATTACATTAATCTTCTAGAAACTTCTTGAATATCAAGCTATTGAATTTCTGGAGCAGTAGCTTCCAGAATATTTCTATGCATTTCATTATATATCGTATCTTCAAATGGAAGAAATTAAGCTGAGAAACAGTACCTGGTTGACTCATCAGAATTATGTCTTTGTTTTGGTACGGTTAATATGTACTATATGTATCAATAGATAAATCTGTTTGTTTAAATAAATAACAAAAGAAAAAAAGAAATACATATCGGTTTGCTGAAGAAATTGGAATTAAGAGTTTATAAATCCCAACATCTCATTCTATTCTAATTAATAAATTCTAAATATATATATCTATATAAAAAAATTCTTACTCATATCGATTTTGTTCGTAAGTTTTTGTTTCAACTTTATATTCAATCGGTGTTAATAAATTAAAACCATTGAATTTTGCCCATCCAACAGGAAAAGCATCTAAAGAATTAATTGGTAAAACATGATAAAATAAATAATCATCATTAAATAAACTAGTATTATCAATTCTTAACCACATAAGATGATCAACAACATGAATAAGTGTTACAGATAAAACATAATCATTATTATTTAATGTATAAATCATTTCCATTTTCATTCCTGGTTCAACACGATTATTTCCATTAGAATTTAATGTTATTAAATTAAAACAACGTTCAGATGCTAAATCATTGATATGATTTTTTTCTGTATATAAATTCCAATAATCTTCAGATTGACGAATACCTTTACCTTTCATTAATGCAAATCTATGTTCAGTAGCCCAATGTGCTGGTAATATATATGGATGAGTAGCATGTGCAATAAATGAATATTGATTTTCATTATCAATAATTATATCAAAATAATATTCATTATGTATATGACCAATTTTGCCAACATAAATATTTTGTGTTTTAGTATCGAATACTTCTAATTTCATACCTTCTGTAAAACGATGTTGACGAATTTCTTCTTGATCTTTAAATAAATTTAATGGAAGAAATTGTTTTTTTGATTGAATTAAACACATATCAATAATTGTTTGTTTATTAATAGATGTTAATTTTATACATGTTGGAATATCATAAAAATAAACTGATGAATTATTTGAAGTCCAACCAATAAAATGAACACGCCAATCAAGATAAAATATATGAATATCAGAAGAAGATAAATTTGCATCTTCTTCATCTGTTGTATTAATAACATATTGTAAATGTAATCGTCCACCTCGATTGTTTATTATTCGAACAAACCATACTGTCCATGGACGATCTATATCTTGTAATTCAAGTAACATACCACATTTTAATTGTTCAACAGGATTAAGACCAATATTCTAAAAATGAAAGCAATCTTAAAAATTTTGAATTTTTTTCAAATAGATTTAATCGTATTCAATTTTTTATATAGCGCGGAGGTAGTGACCTTCCTAAAATATAGTCGGAGCACTCCCGGAATGTTTAACCATCCCTTCAAAATAGTGTTCTGAAAGCGGGTCGGATATCCGGTGTCTTCTTACCCGATAAAAGTATAAGAATGAAAATTAATTCGATTATGATTGAACAATTTATTGTACCCGAGAACAAGTTACAGAATTGAACAGCGATATTGTTTTACTATGACAAGTTATTTTTAATGAAAACTCTATGATAAAGTAATTGAATACAGAGATAGAAATATAAATTATCAAAAAAAGTGAATATGTATTATCGTGATGGAGGAAGTATTAATGTATGTATTCATAATTGTGACGTTTGCCGTTCACATTGAGTTCCTATTCCAGCATTATTAGCAACAATCGAACGTATACTTAGCAAAATCAATCAGATTTTAGAAGCGGAAAGACACTAAATGAATCCTGAATCACTTGCTCTTTTGCGGAGTGTAAGATGAGTTCGTTTTTTTCCTGCTGTTTGTAAAACACACTAAATAGTATACTTTTTTTATAGAAAGTAAAGATTTGAAAATTGTTCTATGACTAAAAGTATCTACTGAATGTCGATTAGTTCTGGTTCGAATTCATATGCGAAAAATCGCATCTGTGCAGAATACTCTTTGGGAAAAGTGAATCTCAATAGAATATCCATTGTATTATTTTTTTTTTCTATAAGAATTTTTTACTTAATTCTTGATAATAATTATGCAAGGTAGTTAGACTTTGTCAATATTATAATGAAGTTTCGAGAAGGTTTCTACTTTTTTATTTGTGTCTTATGAAATCAAATTCAAGACAGTCTTTCAATGGTTTAGTTTTGTGGGCAAAGAAACTAAATAATTCATTATGAATTTATTACGTCGAATTCTTATGTTCATTAACAATGTTTTCTGTGGTTAATTTTTTGTTTTTCCGTTGATAGTTCCATTATATATTTTAATACTACATAGAGAAGGCTAAGGTAAGAAGGAATTTCATGGGCCATGAAGTTCTTTGAATTAATTTCTGATATTCTCTCGTTGAGAGTAATATGAAATTGATTATTTATGCGATAATTATCAAATTATATTCATAATGATAATTAATAGAAGATATTTATTATCTATCCGAGTATGACGACAAATCGAATTCTTATATAATAAATAAGCAAATTTCTATCAATATATAAAGACTAATACTTTAATTATTTCGAATCAAATCATAAATAAAACCATAGCTAAATGCATATAAAATTTAAAAAAAAGGATACTATGATTTTAATCTCAGACTTTTAGGCTTACCATTCCTCTCAGAAATTGCGATTTTTATAAAAAAAAAATCGATTTTAACACGGTAGGATAGCTGTAAATGTCTAATACGATGTACCGAATTCATTATATGTTCTCGCAGTTTATTTTTCTTCTGTTCTTATGTCAAAAATTTCTCGCCCATTTTACATGTTAGAAAGCTCGCGAAAATTTTGAATTGACGAGAAAATTGTGCTCTGTAACTTAGCATAGGCGAAAATTTCATTTTCGACTTACTTTTCTTAAAAACAATGAATGTTTTTCTATAGAGGCAATCTGATTTGTTGAATTTTTTTTTAGAGAAAATTTCATCAGAACTATGACTCTTGATGTTCTGATAGTTCAATATTTCCAGCCGAAATTTTGTACTGTTAAAATTCGGTGGACCTTACATGAAATGGTTCTTTTAACCCTCGAGCAAACTATTCCCATTTTGTCCTGAAAAGGACGTTTTGTGGCTCGAGTCGAACCCAGATGTAAATTAATAAGATGAACTTGATTTTTTTTTCTTGATTTATGTTAGACATAGACAAATCAAAGATCTTTATCATGATCTTTTTAAGTACGAAAAAATTGTAATTGCACCTGATGTATGAAAATGTTTGCAGTTTAAAAGATATTTTTCAAAGTGATTATGATAACAGTACACTGTTAAAATATTATAGAAGAAACTAGAACTCGAAATCTGACTACACCACAAGCGAGTAAATCTTTTCATATATGTCGATATATTAATCCACTCATATTAAAAACGAAAAAAAAAAAATTCTCTTTTTGTTCGTTTTCTTTTATGTTCTACAGCAAATCAAATCAGTATCCTGATTGGATTGTTTCGGGCAGAATAACTCTTGAATTTTTTTTTTCTGTAATACTTATTTACGAAAGTTCATATGACTTTTCTACATGAGTTGAAGGCTAACAATTAGATAAAAGATTGATCGAAAAATGATAAGTATTTACGTAGAAGAAAACGAAAAACGAACGTTGTGAGTCTTAGTATATCCATAAGAAAGCGTTCGAGAGTTAAGATCTGAATTGAATCGTATTCCAAAAAGACGCATTTCGTTTTGTTTTTTCAATTCATTTAAGAAGATAATAATCCAAAAGAAAACAAGATTTACTTTATCAAATAAATATTCCGATGGTGTTTGTAACTCTTCATTTTCTCCTTTAATATTTCCATTAGTAAGTGTATTTGCATTTATTGTTGTTTGTTGAATAGCTCGTTTGGTAACAATTGGTGGTGGTAACATTAATTTACTATTTTCTTTACACCAACCAATTGGATGACAACGTTGTCCATAAATATAAGCCCAAAAATCATTTGATGTATCATCTTCTGGTATTCCAATATAATGTAAAAGAATTAAACTATGAGAAACTAATTGTATTTGTGTTAACCAATATAGATCACGTTGTATATCATAACAATATTCAAGTTTCATATGAATTTCAAAACCTGAATTAATTGATGTTAAATAATGATCAAAAAATTCATCAGAAACTGATCGTTCATTAATAATTGAAAAATATTTTGACCAAAGAAAATTTGATAATGATAAAGGAGAAGAATTAAAACATGGTTCAAGCTCATGAATAATTATTCGAGATGTTGATGAACTAGAAAAGAAATTTATTTCATAAAAAAGAAATAATAACATCAAAATCTTTTCGTTTTATTTATTACTTAATTTTTTTAATGGAATTATAAAAATCAAGTTTTGATTTATTTATATTTGAATTATCTGACATTAAATCTTCGTTTATTGGAATATTTTGATATTGATCAGTTAATGATTGTTCAATATTAAAATCATTTTTAGTTTCAGCTATTCGAATATCATTATTATCAATTGTATCTGTATAATTACATGAAGAATTATTTGTCCAATCGTCAATAATAATATTTGAATAATTTGTATTTATTGTTGTTATTCGTTGACTAAGATCAAGAATAGGTAAATTTGAATGAGATATATCACAATTTGAAGTAATATTAATTGTTGAATTCATCATTTTATTATTTTTACATAATTATCATCTGGAAAATAAGAGAATCAGAGAATAAAAGTTGTTTAGTTTATTATTGAAAATAATCAAGGTCAATGTAATTTAGAGAGAATTTATCAAAATCTAATTTAGATCTATTCAAGAAAAGATTTAGTTATATTGAGAATAAATAATACTAGGCAAAAAAATATCTTTCCCTACAAAAGAAACTTTGGATGGTAACAAGGAGAGAGACAGAGAACGAGAGAGCGAGAAAGAGAGAGACATAAGAACAAGAAGAGAAGAACAAGAACGAAAAAAAAAATACTACCTTTATCATTCTCAATATAATTGTTGACCATTTTATTAACCATTCAGAATTCATCTACGATCCTTTATTATAACTCATAGTTATAACAGGTGGCGCTTTTAAAAAAAGAATTTTATTTTAAAAATTTATTGAGGAGAAATATGCATATTATTATAGTTTTTCTACTAGCAAATGAATTTTTCACGAAAAGTTAAATATTTATGAATATTAAGCAGGTAAAACACGATTCATTTCTAAAAAAGTTTTTGATACACGTTTTCGTTTCTTTGAACGACGATGATGAGGTTTGAAAGTTGTCTTTTTCAACCATATAATCAGGATAGCCCATCCAATTGAAGCAACAGGAATGACAGTAGCCAAAATGATAATTATAGTTTTCTTATTAGGAGCAGCTACGTTGTCAGCAAGTGTAGTCGTAGGTACCTAAGAATAAAAAAAATTAAGAAACTTGATTAAATTGCATTATTCTTCGATAGTTAATTTCATTTGATTTCATCTTCAACTATATATCCTTCTTAGGCTTTTTTAAATAATGATCTCATTTGTTATTTACAAGTATTTGCCTATAGAAGTAATAATTCTTAGTAGTATTAGATGTAATGAAGCTTGCTGTGCTTATCTCTGATCATACAATTTTTTCTGATGTTATTGTTGTATTCTATATTACCGTTGATAAATCAATTTCCGTGCTTGTAGATGTTGTGGTACTAACAAAAGAAAGTCATTGAAGAAAAAGAAGAATTTTCCAAAAACTCTAACCTGGTTGTACCATCAGATGTGAGTGATATGGTTTTAATACTGTCCTGTGAATAAATATTATCTATCACTGTTCATTTTAAGATAAATACTTACTGTTAAAGCTGTAGTTACCGACAGTTCGACGGTTGATATTGTTGTTGTTATTATTGTTGGTATTGTTGCGGCTGCTATTATTGTTGATATTGTTGATATTGTTGTTGGTATTGTTGCGCCTGTTATTGGTGCGGCTGTTATTGCTGTTGATATTGTTCTTGGTAGTGTTGTAACTGTTGTTGTTGTTTTTATTGTTGTTTCTTCGGTAGTTATAAAAACACTATCAAAACTAACGAAACAAAAAAAAAAAATTTGGAATTAAACAATTTCAAGACAGATTATTGATACAATAAGCTCAAACCTGCTCGAAACATCCGATGTTTTTGTCGTCGTTGAATCATTAATAACCGGTGTATCATCTAGATGAAACTTAAATCTAATTCATCTGTTATTCTGAGTTGCATACCACAACTGCCTTGACGAATTGAAATTTCGTCGAATCCAACATAAGGTCCTTGAACTCCAGATCTTCTTTGTACTTCAAAATATATCTGAAAAAGAATCGTTAAATAAAACGGTCATTAAGATCTGTATTTTCAGAAATATCGCACTTTATAACCAGATGCTACAGCATTGAAAGATACTTCACGTCTTATCCATCCATTGAGCAGACTTGATGAAACAGAATCAATGCTATCCGTTAGACCATTCGTTTCGTTCTTAATTATGGTGATAATATTCTCGGTTGCACTACCCAGGTAATAGTAATAAATAAGACATTGCTGACCAATACCACTGATTCCACCAGATGCAGTTTTAAGTTGAAAGGATTTTTTATCATTATTTAGTAATGATATAGAAGCAAATTTGCCTAAAAGAAATAAAACCATGTTAAAAGAACTGAAAAGATACAATTTGTTACACATTAAACAAACCTGATTTACATGTACTATTTAAACTATTTTCTGTTGGACAATAACCTTTGTTGCAAAAATACATGCCCCAATTGTTTGAGCCAATACGATAGGGCAATTTGCATAATTCTCCATTATTTGTCGGCTTCACTAAATAGACATGAATATTTAATACTTCTAGAAGAAATGCTGAAATATAAATTTTTTTACAGCTTGAGGTCACATCTGATAAAGGTCCGCTTGGTGATATGGTAGTCGGATCTGCTACATGTGAAAGAGCCACTGTTCCTGGTGTGAAACAATTGTCAATTACAGAAGCATCATCGAAGTTGCATTCGTACAGGAATTGATTTGAACTGAATGCTGTTAAAGAAAGAGTTTCTGTTTCTACGATTTCGAGCTTTTCAGTTGTTGACATATCAGGTCCAATCAGCATTGATGTATGCATCTATTACAATAAAAAATTTATATAAATTTGATGAAAAAATTCATTACCATTTGAACGGAGGAACTACTAGAATATTTAAGAAAATAACTAGAAAATTTAAACAGTATGAAAACATGCAATTTCAAACCTATCAATGTCAGTAATTGGAGTCGTTATTGTTGTCAAAGTGTCGGTAGTTATTGCTGCTAAAGTATCCGTAGCTGTTGTTGTTAAAGTATCGGTAGTCATATGTTGATCACCTAGAATAATAATGATAGTTTTGTCTTTGTACATTTTGTTTACATACCAAGACTGCATTGTCGAATTGATATTTCATCCAATCCAATATCAATTACAGAGGATTCTGATGATGTTTTCTGTACATCAAAATAGAGCTGAAAAGTGTTACAATATTAATTGAATAAAGTATAGATAAAAAATAAGATTTTTCTACTTTATAGCCAGGTATTGTTGCATTGAATAGTATTCCACGTTTGATCCATCCATTAAATGGACTACTTGTAACATAGTCAATTGTCTCATTTCTACTACCCGCTTCTTCTTTACGTATTGTAATGCTCTTTTCACCAATAATTGGCATATAATAATAATAAATAAGATATTGTTCATTTATACCATTAATACCATTCGGTTCAGTCTTCAATTGGAAAGATTGTATTTTATTATCAGACAACTGTATTCTAACATATTGTCCTATATATAAATATAAATATAAAAATTATTCAAAATTATAACTATTAATTTTTGTACAAACCTGATACACATTTACTATTTGCACTGATTGCTGTTGGACAATAACCTTTGTAGCAAAAGTACATATCCCAAGTGTAATTACGTACGTTGTACGGTAAATTACATACTCTTCCATCATTTGTTGGTTTTGCTAAAAAAAATAAAAAAGATAGACAGAAAAGTGATCATCTAGGATCTTTATTCTTACAAATCGATGTTACATCAGAAGATGGACCATTTAGCGGTTGATTATCGAGTAAGGCAAAGTCTGAGAGAATTAAGACATCTGTAGTGAAACAATGTTCTTCTAGTGTAGTATTGTCAAAATTACACTCGTAAAGTATTTGTGAATAAACATAAGATAGACAAATTAAAACTGAAATATTGGTAAGTACGTAGAAATGCATGATAATTTCCAATTGTTTTCGAGTGTACTGCAAAGAAGAAACTGAATGAGAAGTATATACCTTTATTTTAGAAAAAAAAAAGAATTTCTTCAATAATCATCAGACCATACATGATAACTCACGAAACAAAACAATGACTCATATCAGTTATCAGTTGGTGAGGTGAGAAATTCATTTTTTTTCTTTCTTCATTGTGATATTAAAGTTAAGATAACAGCAGAGCAGCCTGTACTCAAGTGGGACAGAACTTATATTGAAAAAATTCATTAGATATTAATCAATAAGTTTTTTTTCTATAGATGTTCTTATTATAATATAATCATTTCTAAAAATAGTATCTACTATTGAAATAAAAATTGATAACGTTTCTTCTTCTCTTCTTCATTTTCATTCATCAATTATTGAAAATAAAAGCACATTTATTTATTATCAATAATCGATTTAATTCTTTTAGATTATTTACAATTTTATACTATATTAATAAAAATATACACAATAAAATATTTGATTTTTATTATGTCTGTTTCGTTTTAATTTAAAATTTTGAACATGATGAGAAAAAGTTTTCAATAAATTAAATGTTTCTCATTGTTGTTTTGGTTTATTTTCAAATTCAAAATTTTGATAATATCTTTAATCATATTAACCATTTTTTTCAACATATTTATTAAATTTAAATTCATGTAAGGTCCTTGTACTTGCTAATCAAATTACGTTAAATTACAGAAAAAAATTTAAACCAATAAATTATCTTTTTCTTTTTTAAATGAACAATAATAACATATACACCAGCTATGTTATTAATTCTAATGCTTTGTCAGAATAAAAATCAAATGCACGAAAAATCGATGGATATACTGAAATTGTCATATTAAGTATAATAATAAATCAAATTTGAAATTTCATTGGTAAATATTTTCCATTGAGCAAAATTATTTGAAATAAATTACTATTCAATTTCATAAATCGAATATCTTGTGCAATTTTGTTTGATGAATATTGCTCAGTTGGATATTTAAACTTAGATTTTCTTTCTGATTTATTGTCTCAAAGAATATGTTAAACAATATTACGAAATTTTATTTGTCATACATTACTTAATGTTAATGTTTTCATATAATTAGCTAGAAAAATAGAATCATTAACTGATCGACCAAATTCATAATCATTAAAACTCATTAATAATAAAATCAGTTTTAGCATCAACCAAAGTTTTTTTCATTAGGAGGAACAGTATTCTCATTATGCATAGTGTTTAATATTTAAATTTCAAAATGCAAAAATAGCTAAAAATTCATCTATACATACACTGGTCATATCAGGTATATATAAGAATGTAGAATCTTTCTGTGGATTATTACAAATGCAATTAACAAAAATTCTTTATTTTGTAAAAGAAACTAAATAAACTTCTGGTTAAATAATATTAACTATCAGATTATCTAACAGACTGTTGTGATTCAATTCATATTTGTGCATTTTTATATTTTACATTTGAAACACGAAAAGTTCATTTTTATTATTTTATCATAATTAACAGAACTTACATCAAAGCAAAATCTAATCAATTCATGAATCAATTTTATACTCAACAATCAATGTAGATCGCACAAAACATACATATATGATTACTTATAAAGAAATTATTATGTATAGACTCAATCATATTGGTTAATTCATTGTATTAGAACTGAATGGAAGAATGTTATTTATCAGTGTCGAGATTAGTTCTAAGTATCCAGGTGACATACATTTTTGATTGATGAATAAAAAAAGCACAAAAAAAGGATCCCATATTTTTCCTTACTAAGTAACATCTATGAATATTTCTCACTTAACGTTCTATATCCAAATATTTGTGAACAAAAACCAACAGATATTGTTCAGATGGTAAACAAAAGCGATTAATTTCGTTATTAAGTAATATACATTGATTACAATCATGTGGAATAAAAATATTTCGTCGATCTTTAGTGCAAAATATGTTAGATTATGGCTCAACAGAATTTAATTAAAATCCTAACACTTAATAATAGATAAAGATGTGAACTTTTTTAGATTTTTTTTTCTACACCATACTGACTATTCAAGATTTGTTTGTAAATAGTGGTAGAATTTAGTAAGCGTTCTTCAGAAACATGAAGATCTTTCATAATAGAAATTATTGCAAAAATTTCGTTACTAGAGATACAAGTTTAGTAAAAAGTATTTTTACTTTGTTTAGACAATTGTTCATTTGGAAGAAATTTAGCTGTGTTTAAGAGGACGTTAGCATCATTCGGTTGAATTTACCATGTCATGGCAATACTTTTCTATATACAGGGAAACTTTTTTTTTGTTGGTTCAGATAGTAATACTAACAGATGCAATGAAGGTAGCAGTAATGATGATATCCAAAATAATACCATACGGCTTAACTCGATTTTCAAAAGTAAGGCTTAATGTTGATGTGTAAGAAAAAAAAACTGCAGTTAATTGAGAATATGAATTTATTGATGTCTGCATTAAAACCGATATGATTATATCTGGTAACTACCATGACATCCGAGTTATTCTTGGTCAATCAAAAATTTGCTAGAACAATTTGATGTACTAAACAATATATGCTAAACTTTCATCTATGAATGACATAGTTAATCCACCTAATAGAATCTTATAACTTTATACAATTCATAGAAATACAAAAACAGAGAGTATTTATAGTCAATAAGTAAGAAAAGGAAAAGGTTCTCTTTACGTCGAACGCATAACAATGACTATTGCCAAGTTTTCATTAGTTAAGACATCAATAATTTTATTGTAACGGGTGGCGCAGAATAAATTGCCCTCTTAGTATTTCTAAGATTTTTCCTCTATTATACCTGTGATTAAATAACTTTCTTTTATCAAAAGATAGAGCTTGAAATTCTCTACAAAACCATATATGACTAGACCCTAAAACTGTTTTAAATATAATTGAAAAAAGATGAAAAGTAAAGACATACAAAAAGCTGTAAAAAGTAACGGGTTGAACATAATGAATGGCCGCGCTTTGCATCCAATTTTTTCATCACTTATTTCGCCCTATTAGAAAAACAAAATATACCAAACGATGCAGCGCGAAAAGCTCTACAATTTACATAAGATCGCCTATTTTACAGTTGTATTTTTTGTTTTCAAAATGGGCACAATTTTGAGTGATCAAATGCGACCGTGCGAAAATGATATATTTTTTGGTATAAGATGAATTCGTTTTTTTTTATTTCCTCTTTTTATAATTTATTCTTTGTAAATTGTAGAGATTTTCATGCTGAATCTTTTGGTATATTTTGTTATTAATAAAACATATCAGGTAATAAGAAGATGAAATAAGAAAAAAAGTATTCATCTTGTACCAAAAAAACAATATCAATTATTTTCGCACGGTTGAAATTTGATCGCTCAAAATTGTGTCCATTTTGAAAAGAAAAAGTGCAACTATAAAATAAGCGGTCTTATGTAAATTGTAGAGCATTTCACGCTGCATCTTTTAGTCTATCTTGTTTTTTAATAGGGTGAAGTGATGAAAACATTAGATGCAAAGCGCGACCATTCATTATGTTCAACCCGTTACTTGTTACAGCTTTTTATATGTCTTTATTTTTCATATGTTTTCAATTATATTTAAAATAGTTTTAGAGTCTAGCCATATATGATTTTGTAGAGAATTTCAAGCGCTATCTTTTGATTTAAAAAAAGTTATTTAATCACAGGTATAAAAGAGGAGAAATTTTAAAAATACTAAGAGGGTAATTTATTCTGCGCCAACCGTGTTATTTGTCATGATTTACGTAGTAAACGGCACAGTTATAGTTCAACTGCTCTAAATCGATATATATGAACTGATACTTACTAGCTCTTCATTATAATCATACATGACTATCGCTTGTTCTATAGTGCTTGTACTATCACAAATGTCCATTGTCGTCGCCATCACTTTTTTGTTACTTTTTTTATATTATAAATTCAAGGTTTAACAACTATATAAAAACAAAAAACCATCGATCGTTCTTTTTTTGAGTTTTTACATTCAACAACCTCCTTGATAAACTATAAATTCAATCCTAGCTAAAGAATTTTTTCCAGTTGATTTTTTAAGATCGAAGTAATCCTAATAATGTTCAGGATGAAGATGAAAGAAAGAATGTACATGTGAGACGAAGATCTCACTTTATATTCGACTTTTACAGCTATAAAAGTCAGTCAACATTAAATCTCTCCATCAAATAAACTTCATGTGGCCTTATGGATTGTTTCAGTAGTACTACTTCTCCTCCTTCTTCTTCTTTGTAAACTCTGATAACTATTTGATGTTTCAACTATGCCCGCTATGTAATAGTGACAGACAAAAACACTGTAGCGGTTAACTATTAATACTATTGAATTCGTGATATTGAGAAAGAAAGAAGCTGTTCATGAACTTTTTCTTCTATAACAGCTAAATTTACCTAAAACGTTGATTTGCATAGAGATGAATAATAGATACATACAAATATTTTTATGTTCTTTAAATGAACCTGATGTACACGAACTGTTAGTTATTTACTTTTGAATAGAAATCATTCTTACAGAAGTGTTTGTTTCAAGTGCAAAGGCTTACTCTGATGAATAGTTTGCAAATTTGACCATTGAAGCTATATACAACTACAAGAAGAATATCAAACTGCATAGAAAATACGAGAATGATAATCAATGAATTGTGTTGCTTATGACTCTATATCATATCTAATGAGAATAAGGTTTGTGCTACATCATAAAAATCCGTACATTAAATGAAACTAGCAAACTTGCGATGAAATAATTGCGTATAACAAGTATCATTGAAATTACATTCACACAATATCTGACTATGAGATATTGTTATACTACTGCAAGTTAAATATGATTATGTCAAAGCATATAATTTGATACATTAAATAGTATCTTTCCAAACCAGAGAACAAGTATTAAACGTTGCATTCTACTGTGTTCTATCAAAAAATGTGTCACTTTTATCATTATTATTATCATTCTAAATATTCAATGACACGTATATGAGAAATATTATCTTTCGAACAAAATAAATTCTTCTCTTCTTTGTTTATTATTACATTTTCGAAGTTATTCGATATATTGACAATTTCTGAATACTTAATGGCATATATATATATATATATATTAAATATAATATATATTGACTAAATCAGTTTACTAACAAATTCTTCGTTGCATTCAAATCTTAACGAATACAAATTTTTGAATTTGTTTGTTAAAACAAATACAATCTTATATTTGTAATCTCAATTTCCGTTTCAGTTGTTTCGGAATCATATGTAATTGAGGAATTTATAGAAAAATCTTTGAATAAAGGGCCAACTGAATGAAATTTCGAACGATATTTTGAATTATTAATAACAGAATTTGTTGATGATGCATACGGAAAATATTTTGAGCATTTCTTTTCCTTCTGTAAAATCAAAAGAAAACAGAATTCTAAATTAATTATTTTCTATCATCAATAAGATATTCCTACTATCGATAAACCAGAGACAAAGTAATACTAACAGAATGTTGGCGACAATGGCTAAAAAGAATACTAGCATTACCATTGTGCTATCACATTGATAAAAATAAGTACAGATTTTAACTAAAAAATACTAATAATAACCGAGAAAAACACAGGATAAAATTTTGACTGATAAAAAGTATAATTTTACTAAAACTATTTTTGTTCGATGGTTGTTGAATTTGAAGAAGTTTAAGTTTATGTTAGCAATATTTGAGTGCCTTCAAAATGAGATAGTGATATTTTTGTGTGGCAAGGCAACTTTTTTATCCAAATAACTAAACCAACAGCTGCAATTAAAACAGAAGAAATAACTGTAGTCAAAACAATGATATAAGTATTATTGGATTGAATGTATTGATTATTAGATAAGGTAGCTAAAGTTGATGAAGGTATAGTTGTGCTTGGAGTATTACTAGTAGTCAAAACTAATGATGTCGTTTTTGCTGTAGAGGCGTTCGCCATTGTCGATGACCTTAGAAATGTAATTGTTGTTGTCATAGAAGAAGATGTAATAACAATTGTGGAAGTTATCGAAACAATTGACATATTCATGATACTTGATCTCGTGGATGTCATTGAACTCGCCTAGAAATGAATATATACTGTTTTTCTTTATAGGGTCATGAAGATAACACGTTACTGTTGATGATTCTTCAATTGTGATAGTGTTTATTGTTGAAGCGATTGATGTTTGTGGTGTACTACTAACCGTCATACAAGGAAAAAAAGCATGTAAAAAAAACCATAGAAAGACGTTTCTTGAAATGTAACCTGATTATAATCTGGAATTCGGTTGGCATTGTTGATTTTGACGTTGTTTGTCTTGTAGTTGTAGTCATAATTGCGACAGCTAGATTTCACTTATTAAACAAAATATCATTTTATAAAATAATTCATCTACCACAATTGCCTTGTAAAATCGAAATTTCATCAACTGCAATATAAGATTGAGATAAAATTGCTCCAGATGTTCTTTCCAAATCAAAATAAATCTAGATATAAATTAAATATGCAATAAATATCTAAGCAAATATTATTACTTTGTATCCAACTTTTGTACTAGTGAATGTTACATTACGTCTGATCCATTCATTGATTGGACTACTTGTAACAGTATCAATGATTGTACTGGTGCCAATCTTATCTTCTTTGCGTACCGTGATTTTGTCTACTGTTCCAGGTATAATCGACATATAATAGTAATAGAGAAGACATTGCTGATTTATACCATTGATACCAGTTGATAATGTATTTAAAGGATAAATGACTTTATGATTGTTTGCCCAAATTTCAAGGTAGCCGAATTGACCTAAAATATTCATTTATGTATTCAAAAAACAAAAATGTGTCCTATGTTAACCTGATGAGCATTTAGTTCTTTGATTAGTTTGTGTTGGACAATAACCATCATTACAAAAAAACATATTCCAAGTGAAAGAAGAGACTCTGTAAGGTAATTTACAATATTGTCCATTGACTGTTGGTTTGACTAAATAATGAAAATCATATATGATGTAAAAATGAAAATAATAACTAGATGACAGTTTTTCTTACGACTTGATGTGACATCTGATAAAGGCGCAATTGGTGCTTTGCTACTAGCTTTGCCTATACCTGATGAAACTGGCATAAATCCAGTAAAACAACTATTTACGATTGTAGCATTGTCAAAATCACATTGGAACAATATTTGAGTTTGAGTGCATGTAATGCATGTGTAGACTAAAGTGAATCAAATGAAATGAAAATTTTTCTTTTTGATGGATAAGTTAGGTATTTTACAAAAATATAGAAGACACAATAATTGTTTCATTGTTTTTCATTTGTCCGAAGAAACGCTCAAATTTAAAATCGTTCTCACCACCTGTCTATGTTATTTCATTCACGACACGATTACCAACCGATGTTATCTTTTCATCAGTAGAATATCAAATTCGTTTTTGTTTTTCTATTTTAACATAATAACTATGAATAGAAGTTAACAGCATTTTTTTATTGTTATCATTTTTATCAATGTTTACTTATCGACGTTTTATTCTGAAATTACTCTTGCTAACGTTTGCTCCTATGATGAAAAGCGAACTTCAGTATTGACATATTGTTTTTATACTTTAAAAGTACTTAGGATTCGAAAAAAGAAGACACAGAGAATGAAAATTTTTTAAATTAATAACATGTGTGAAAAATTTGATAGCAAATAATTCAGAAAAATGTAGTATGATAATTGAAACAAAATATAAACCCTCGAATATCATTAACAAAACGAATTTTCATGTTGGTTTTTCTAAATGAAAAGTATTCTATTGACTTAAGCATATTATGAAAATTTATTATTGTGAAGAAATAATATAACTACGCTACTATATATGATAAATAAGATAGTTTTATTTTGGTAAGTAATTAAAAAATGTATAGTACGAAATTATCCGCTTACATGGAAGTATTTTGGGATAATCATTCAATATGTCATAACAAAAAGAAATAAAATCAATTAAAAGTCATTCAAAATTAGATATTTCAGAAAAGTTTAAAAATTAAATATTTTGTTAATTTGTTTGTGTATTCTATTTGCTAATTATTTAGAATATAGCTTTTAAAAAATATGAAGTAAAACTAGAAAAAGTTTTGCAAGATTGTTTTTAACTGTACCAATGATGAATCTATTCTATCGGATATGTAAAAGAAAAATGAGAAGCAATTATCTGACTTCATGAGTTGTAGGTCAAAATCATCTCGATGATTCAAAATATTTTAAAGTAATGAACAGTCGATGCTTCTTAGTAAAAGAATCGATAGATAACAACTGTGTAATCATAATAATGAGACTAATAGATACAATTAAAACGACAGGAATAACGCTTCAGGAAATAGTAATATAAGTTTTTCTCGGTACATTAACAACATTTTTTTGTCAATTAATGTTATAACACTTGTTGACATCGAAAATTACTTTCTGTTATGTTTTTAGGAGACACTAGGGTGCCGGTGTGGATGAATGTCTTCTATTCGCCCACACCCTTATGTTTTTAGAGTCATTTTTTTAATATTTTACTCAGTCAATTATGAAAGCAAATAATAAATCTCTCTCTCTATTTCTTTTACATATAATAATATGTAATTATTATCACTAAAATGTTCATTCAACATTCTATTGACAAAATTAATGGATTGACATATATTGGAGCAAGAGCAAAATAGTGTCGATGTGGGGTGTCAGAAATGTATTCGTTTGACCCACAACCACATGGGAGAACCTTTTTAGCATATTAAAAAATTTACTCACGTTAGTTTTGTGATATACAGGAGAAAGTTTTGTTCTTTTTTCAAATGCTATTAGCAGTGAAGTCTCATATAATCTCTTGTCAGTAGTCTTAAGCTCCAAAAAAAGATCCATTTTCAAAAGTTAGTGTTTTGGAATTTACAATATTATGTCAACTTTTGATCACGTACATAATAAACTGAATACATTGTTTTGTCACTCATGAAAAGTTCTATCAATCGAATGAATACTTTTTGATTAGCATATTGTAAATCTATCCGAACAAAACGGTTTTTTTTATTCGTCTTTTACAGAACTTTCATTGAGGTTCATAAAAGTTTTGATTTAATTAGATCACTACTCACCAGGAAGAAATTGAAAGTTCACAGGATTCTACAATGAACATAATTGAAGTACCCTCACTCACTACTTAGACGAAATTACAAAGACTGCCACATACAATTCTGATTGTGTATACTCCGAACATCAAATTCCACATAATTTCCTTGAATTTTCAATTTCTGGACGGTGGATAAATCTCAGTATTTCAAATCATCATCAAAATATTCAATTGTTTGATATGAAGATTTTTTTTCTCATCACATTCAAAAATTCGAAAAGAAATTTTTTTTATCTTATTGTTTTTTTTTTTGTTATGTGTATATATTTATATTTCTCATTCGTTGCTCTTTCCAAACACATTCATAATATACACCAAAGAAGAAAAGAAAAAAGAACATAACCGATGAAAACAATATAGAAATGCAAGAAGAAGAAAAAAATATAATAATGTTCTACAAACAGAAATGTTAAATGTGTATAATGAAAGAAAATACTTTAAAATTAATAAATTTGTTTTAAAAATAAAAAATTGAAATATACATCAAAAAAATGTTTTAATTATCAATTTGTTTTGTTCGAAAAGAAAAGAGCAAAAAGACCGGTCAAAAATGAATATTAATTCATTCTCACTGTGTGTATGTAAAATGGATGGATAATGGAAAAGAAAACATATCACAATATGAATAAATCGAATATTTATCGATTATTAACAGGTGTAACACTTCCACAAGCTGAATCATCACGCGATATTGGTGTTGGTGTTGGAGTATTATTAGCTGCATTTGCTTGTTCAACAAATCTTCCATACATCACTTGAGCTATATGATTAACTTCAGATATATCTGGTCGTTGTTCAGGATCTAATACAAGACATCTTGCAACAAGATGACGAAGCTATTGAAAACAAAAAAAACTTTTACATTAAATAAAATAGTTGCAAAAGAATACAAACTTCATGTGAAAACATATTTGCTGGTAATGGTGCATAGTCAAGTGCTAAGATTTTTTTACGTAGTAACACGAGATTCAGATTTTCACCATAAAATGGAGAACGAAGTGCTGCCATCTAAAAGTCAGACAATTAAAAAAAAATCGATAATAAAAAACTAAAGTTTTTATCTTTACTTCGTATAAAATACAACCAAGCGACCAGATATCAGATCGAAAATCATAACCAAGATCATGTTCGTGAATACGTTCTGGAGACATATAATATCTATTATTGATTTAAAGATAAAATATTTATATTTTGTATTAATTATTAAAACTTACGGTGTTCCAACCATAGAATGAGCTGAATTTGTTTTTGAACCAAAAAAACGACCTTTATAAAAATTTAAATAAAATCATAACGAAATAAAATCAATAAGATATTAAACTCACCTAATCCAAGATCACCTAGTCGAACAATACCTTCAGCACTGACAAAAATATTTGCCGGTTTAATATCTATTATTTAAAACGCAAAAAAATTATTTTTCAATGAAAACAAAAATATATATATATATATTTTTTTTTTTCATACCTCGATGCATAATTCTTTTTGAATGCATATGTTCAAGGCCACTACAAATTTGTCGAAAAAATTTCCATATTGTTTTTTCAGTCATTCTTTTATTTGTTCTAATAAAATGTTTTATCATTTGAGCTAAATCACCAGCACTAGCTAATTCCTAAATTAATTTCAATCAATATTTTATCTTTTTTTGTCTTAATATGAAAAACGAATAAAATCTTACCAAAACAATATACAAATCATTATCTTCGACAAAATGAGATATGTATTTAATTACATTTGGATGATTAAGTTGCTAAAATAATATAAATAATGTTTTTTTCTTTTGTTTTTAATTAGAAAAATTCATACTTGAAGTAAACTTATTTCACGTTTACAATCTTCAATAGCTTTGGCATCAGCCATTTGACTCAGCTAAGATGAACAAATAAAAAGTTGCATAATTTTTTGTTTTGTTTTTTTTTTTTTTGAAAAATAATCTTACTTCAACTTTTTTTAAAGCAACATAAACATTATTGAAACGATTTCGAGCAGAAAAAACAACAGAAAAATGTCCCGAACCAAGTTTTTTAATAATCTCAAAATTTTTTAATGCTCCATATGGATTTGATACACCTTGAGCTGATAATGGGCCAATAACATTATGTTGAATACTCATATCTTAAAGAAACGAAAAAAAAAACAATATTATGAAAAATTCAAAATTCATTAAATAAACTAAATAAAAATAATTTGTTTTCTTTTCATTTTCATTTATTTATACATTGAGAAGAAAAAAAAAAAAACTGAATAGAAATTTTTATGTTTTATGCCAAATTTCTTCTATATTCTATTGTATTTCAGCTGTAGAATTAAGAATAAATCGAACAACAATAGCAAATACAGCTAATAAGGCAAGAATCATTAGATTTCCAATAAGATTATTAAACCATGATGTTGATGATGAATCACTATTTGATGTTGATGATAAAATAGATTGTTGTTGATTATTATTATTAGAATTAGAATTAGAAGTTATTGTTGATAATTTAGCAGTTCGTTCATCTAAAGTTTTTTTTATTTCATCAGTTATATCAGAAAATAATTCACAAAATATTGGATCTTGAATATTATATGCTAATGAATCATAAGCAAATTTACGTTTTTGTGCATATGTACTTTCTATACTACCAAATGTTGCACTTGTATCGCACATAAAACTTAAAAATCCATTTAATATTGATGATATTGACCTTAAATAATAATTGCATAATTTTATTTTATATTTCAAAAAAATAAAATTTACCAAGATGGATTCCATGAATCAGGATGAAATGATGTTATTGTTAAGCATAAACTTGTATTAGTTTTAAATCTTCCATTTGGTGTTAACATATATATACCTAATAAACGATTAAGATTAAACATAATGAATAATAAAAAAACAAAAACAAAAAAAAACTTATACTTGGTGGTTTATAAGGATATTCGACAGGAAAAAGAATTTTTCCTTGATAAATTCCACCTTCATAAGGTGTTTCGCTTGGTCCTCGTACAACATAGCGCCATTCTAATAGATTTGATGATAATGGCTGAGCTGTTAAATATGGAATTGGATCTTTAGCTAAACGACGATATTCAGCTTGAAGACGTTGAAATGCTGAATTTGATTTCATAGACATTTATGATAATTATATAGATAAAACAAAACACAAGCGACGTACTAAAATCTAATAACACCGATAACGAGAAAACAAATTAAGCGGAGGAGTTTTGCTTTTCGACGATTGCTGCTTCCCACGCCCTTTTTCTTTGCAACTAATCATTGGGCCATGTTTTATTAAACATGTTGCCATTTCAAAATTATTTTATCCTCATAAATAAGTCAGATCTATTCATCAGATGTCGCACTATGTCAAAGCTCGTTCCTATACAATATACGTCATTAAAATATTATTAATGTTGAAAAAATGTAATAAAGTACATATTTACTTTACTTTAATCACATCTTCACGCGGATTGGTGTGTTTCATACATACAGCACTGTATAAGGGAGGGTGAGGGCATGATGATTTCAATGAAAATGCTGCGTTGAAGTAGAACTGCATCAAATTCGGATAATTTGATAAATAAGAAAAAAAGTTTCGTGGTATTCAGAAATTAAATTTGCTAATTTGTTCTATTTGTTGTTTTTTTGATGAAGTATTGGATGGCATAAGCTGATATAGCATCTTCCTTTAGATTAGAAAAATATTTTGACGTTACCTGCGTAAAAGTTTTTGTTTAATGACAAAAAAAAGTTGCTATATTATTGACGGTAGAAGCAAGTTAAAGATATTTATTTTAACAAACTTTCATGTGTATTTTCCAATTAAAATGAGATTAATATAAAATTACTCGTGACTCTTTACTAAAATACAGATTTTTTTAATACATTTTCACAGGCAATAATGTAACATGTTTTCTTTTCGCTAGATTTATAGGAATTTTTTTTTTATTGGTGAACAAATGAAGTAGAAATCTTCTATTGATAATTATAAAAGAAGCATCTCAAAATTTATTGTATAGATATGCGTATTTGAACGAATGATTAAATTTAAAAATATCTAATGCATTCAAAGAGTTATGAATCATCTTCATTTAATAAGGGCGAGTGTAGCAATGCTTAGAAATTTTGATCATGAATTGAATTCATTCGACATAATTATTCAAAAGTTAACTGAAGAGAAAATGTTCTTAGATAAATTGATTTACTTCCGACGTAACAAAAGTCTATGAATAATGAATTGCTTCATAATATCGTGCCATTTGAAATGATTTGTGTCAGAGTTGTAACCAGTAACAGTAAACAACTAAGGGTTCGGTAAAGAGTTCCTGACCGGCCCGTATACCGATAAATCGAGATTTTTTTTAATTTTACGTCGTTTATTTTTCGCAAATCAAAAGCTACTTGAATGATATCGAAGTCTATTCTTATGAGAAAATATGCACTAGATGATTATATTTACTTAAAATTCATAATGATATTTTTTTTTTATAAACTGAATTTGTTATTATGTTATNAAAATGAACGAGTCATTCTAGACTTTGTCAAGTCTAGATAGGTTCTCTCTTATGAAGAGTGTTTTGTTTCAAAAGTTTTGTTTTTGTTCAATTAAATTAGCTCTTTCATTAGTTGCGTAATGCCTAAATATGATCAACATAATTCTTTCTTATATGAATACTTTGTCACTATACTACAACTTGTATAAACTCTAATTTCCTTACTTAGGGAAGTACATTTAAATATGAAAAAAATCAGTTGTTCTTGCCTTGAGTATCTCAACTTTCATCCTCATCCTGATCGTTCCTCAATAATTGACTCATTCAAACTATGTTGATGAATTTTTTTTCCAATTTAATCATGATCATACATATTTTCTGATCACTAGTGCCCTCTGTTAATCAGGATTTTCTCATTTGATGACACAAAAAACCTGTTCCAAAGTATTGCTTTCATTAATCAATTTATTTAGTTCCATAAAAAAGAAATTTCATTGACTTTTATTTCATCATAAATGGCTTATGGTCGTGGTCATGCATCATTTACAATTGATACATTAAAATTAGCCAAAGATAGTTTACCAGCTACCGTAACTGAGCCACCACCTGTATATCCGGTATATATTATTATTTAATCACATGAGAAAAGATCAATTGTATATTAATTTAGTATTATTTTAAAAGGAATTACTCAATACACCACATCCATTAATTGAAAATCCAATAAATGATTATGATTATAAATTAAAACTTAAATTAAATTTTAATTCAAGTTTTCGAACTTTACATGATCCAACAAAAGATGATCATGAAAAAAATTTCATTTTAAATAAATGGAAAGAAGGTTAAATTAATTTAATTAATCATTTATATTTAAAAAGAAAAAATAAGTTAATTCTTCTAGAATGGTCTCTTTTACCTCGAGAATTAAAACAAGCATCTCGAATCAATAAAAATTTATTAAAAATGAAACCAAATTTATCGAAAAAAAATATTACACCACCGAAAAAAAAGAAAAAAACAATATTTAATATTGATCTTAATATAGTATGTGAGATTTCTATGGTTTTTTTTTTATTCAATGAATAGAAACTTATTTTGATTAATTTTTTTAGTATGAAGAAAAAGAAATAGATGATGATGATGAAAATGAACAACAAGAAGAAAAAAATGATGATAATGTTGATGTTAATGAAAATGATGATGATAATGAAGGAAAATCAAAAGGTTTTTAATTTTCAAATTTAATTAAAATAAAACATTTTTAGTTTTTATTTTTGTTTTCGATACAGAAAAAAAGAAATTAACAGATAATGAAAATGAAGTTGATGGTGAAATACCACAAGAAGAAGAAGAGGATATGGATGAAGATGAAGTATAAAAATTGAAAATACATTTCTAAAAGAAAAAAAACCGAACATATCTTTTTTGTTTAGGCAGCAGATTATATTGATACATATTTTGATCCAGGTGATCGAGATGATGATGATTTTGATGATGATGGTGGTGATGGTGGAGATTAAATTTTGTTTGTTTTTCTGTTTATTTAATAAAAAAATAGTCACGAGATCAATCGCTTCGTATGCATTCGTGTTATACTATTATTTACTTCTAGATTCTTTTTTTTTGTTTTGTTTCATTGTCTTTTATTTATGTAATTATTAATGGCCTCATTAAGACACAATGACAATCGAAATATTGAAGATGGTAAGTTTGCCAACATGATTTATCGTATATGATTAGTTTGTATGACGGATATATATATATATGTCGTAGGACAGATTGAAATTCAGTTCAGATTAAAATATCTTTGATCTGAACTAGTTCAGTTTAAAATCTTCCTAGTTGAGATCAAAATTATTTTAAAGTGAACTAGGAAGATTTTAAACTGAACTAGTTCAGATCAAAATATTTTAATCTGAACTGAATTTCAATCTGTCCTACGACATATATATTAGTTTTTAATTAATCCTTTGTAGATATTTGCTAATAAGTACTGGTAAGAATAAATAAATAAAATTTTCACTCTGTTTAGCTATCTGTAACTGAAAATCGAAGTCATCATTGTTATTGCTATTTTGTGCTTATTTTTCTGCTTAATACAAAAATAAATTATCAACTTTATTATGCTTTGTTTTTCTTCTTTTTTTCAATAATTCTTAGTATATTCTTAGCCTAAGAAAAAACCGGAAATATATATTTTGACTGATAGATATTAATTTATAAATGAGCTTGAGATACATGTCATATTTTATCAAGAGTCAATCATCGTTCAAATTTCATTAACAATATCGTACAAATACCACATTTATTCTTAATATTCTTTACAAAATAAAAATATGTGTTTGTTTCGTTTTTACAATTCTTATTAAAATGTACTAATATATCTTATATATGTTGAGTTTCTACTAACTTATGAAAATGAAAACTCATTACTTTGTAGAAGCAATCACTTCAAGAAAAGAAACATCAACAACAACAGCTATTAATAGAATTTCATTAAGAAGTAAACCATTAAAGAAATCTCTTTTACCACCACCGACAAGTATTGATAGTGTTATCAAAGCTAAAAAACTAAAAAATAGTGTGGACGAAAAATATTTATTTAAAAAATATTCTCATCCATATCAAAACAAAAATACTATAAAGTAAGTAGTAGGCAGTCAGTTTTTATTCAATGTTTGCTAAAGAACAGAAAATTCTACGAGTACCGACACTTAGCATGCATGTTTTATGGCATATCTAAGATTATAAAAAAAAAAGAACTTGTTTCAAATATTCTAACAGATTTAAAAAAAATGTCTGCTGCTCCACGTCTTCTTAAACCAGCATCTACAAATACATCTGAAGAGTGCAAGTAAGTTCTTTCTTTTTGTTGCTTTATTATACACATTAAAGTTTCCATTCATGCTCATTCTATATCGTTATTGTCTCACTAAATAAATAAAACTAGTTGCTACAGTTTCTTATTATGATTAATTAATAAGGAATAAGAATTACTGTTCGAAATAATAAAACTGCATAGATTGTGCGTAGTTTCTTCAGGGTATTTTTATCTTATGATGTCATTCATCGTTCTGTGCGTTTTCTTTCGGCGAAAGAACAATTAGCTGTATGCAAATATTTGCCTATAAGCATAAATTATTATTCATTTTTTCTTTGAAAATGATTTAGAATAAGTTCTGACAAAACAAACGAATATACCATATAAAATTTATTCACTGATTTAAAATGCATAATAAATAAGAAAAAAAAAGAACAAACCGAAAAAAATTATTATTCTATGACGTGTATAAATAAAGAGAAAGTTTGTTGGTTGTTATTTCACAACGTCTGAAAGTACTTAATTCATATTAATGTGACCTAGCCTTTTTTGCTCTCAGATCAATTTATTGATTATACATTACTAATGAGAAAGAAAAACCTTTACTCTAACACTTGCGATTGATGATATAAAAGACCTGATGTAAGGTAACAAGAAAGTTTATCGTTCATTCACAACTTCTTTTATATAGTTCTACAAATAATTTCGTTTGTATTTTATTTTCTTTCTAGAATTTTAGATAATCAATCCGAATTATCACCTACCGATATAAAACCTCCGTATTTAATAAATTCTGAACCATTTTCAATAGCCAAACAATTAATTTCAAAAACAGAAAATTCATTATATTCATCTCAACGTGAATCTCTTAATTCAACAACCAGTGAAAAAATAACATTAATGACAGCATTCGAACAATCAAGTGTGGTTCAACCACTCTTAACTGATCTTTATCAAATATCAATGGCATATGCCTATTGGAAAGCAAATAAACATCAAGAAATGGCAACATTTGATTTATATTTCCGAAAGAATCGTAAGTAAAATAAAAAGAGAAGTTTATTTACTTTATTTCCTTTTTTTTTAAACTTTAGCATTCGGTGGGGAATATACATTATTTGCTGGTCTTGATGAATGTCTCAAGTTTATTCGTGATTATAAATTTCATCAAACGGATATTGATTATCTACGTTCAGTATTACCAACTTATACAGAACCAGAATATTTCGATTATTTACTTCAACTTGATATGAATGATATTAAAATATTTGCTGTACCAGAAGGTAAATACTTTTTTTGCGTTTTATACTTCAACGATGCATAAAAAAGTCGAAAGTATATTTCTTCTCGAATAAGAATAACGAATGTACTATGACATTATAAAATCTACCGTGATAGAGTAATGTGGGCCAATTGAATAAGAATTTTTTCTTTTTTAACTTTTAATTGGTATAACTTTTTTATACCTAATTATTTTTTCACAAAATTTGGCATACAGATAGAATGAACATTTCTCTATCTATCTGTGTAAAAATTTTCCAAAATCTCAGGTACAGGTGCGTATCTTCTACCATTTTTCCAATTACCCCCACTGACCTTTTCCCATTACCCCACGCGGGGCAATCGGATAAACACATGTATTTTATACGAGATAGTTAAAATTAACTTTTCTCATTAACTAATTAAGATTAATTAGTCATTCGTGCACATGTGAATAGAACATATTATTCTGTACAATTGGTAAGAATATCCCATTTTTCAGAACTAATTAAACTGAGATATCTTCTAATTACTAAATAGAAAAGAATGAAAAAATTTATGTAATTGCCCCAAATGGGCTAATTGGATATGTAGAGAAAAATTGTGCGGTAATTGGATAAGTGCATAGGACATAACCAGAAAACTCGGATTTGTTTCTAGATAACTTTCTAAGTGAAGAAAGCATATTATAGAAAAATTTCTGCGACGAAAAATGTTTAATATTTCTTTCTCTANGGGGCTATTGTTGTTATTTTTCTTTGACTACATCGACTCCTTGACTAAAATTAATCAATAAAAATAAAAATAATTTTTAGCATTTTGATCCCCCCCCCCCCCCCCCCCCCCTAAAAAATCTATCTCAGCCCAGGAACATCCAAATTGCTTGAAACTTTCAGGATATTTTGGGGCTGGAAAGGGGAGACTACCATAAAATGTTCGGCCCGAAATCTTCAGGTTTTAGGGAGATATGAACCAAACAAGGGTCAAAAATGACTCATTTGGCATCCCAAATTTTTCAGTCCTGGTTCGTTCAATATATTAATATTTTTTTTTTGTTGGAAAGAGCATCTCAAGATGCAGGCCATTATGGGGCCGTTTTTTTTTAAATAGTCCCTTTTTGAGCGCAAAAAAGAGATCACAAGTTCAATTACTGAAAAAAAGTGTCAAATAATGGTAACCAAATCATATAGCTCGCTGTATATTGACCAAACAAAGGCTTAATTAAAAAAATGGCCCCATCATGACCTGCGCCGTGAGATGCTCTTTCAAGCAAAAAAAAGAAATTAATACATTGAACGAACCGGGAAGAAGAAATTTGGGATGCGCTTTTGCGATATCGTGAATCGAGAAAAAACGGAAAACTTTTTTTGATTTTTCAAAAAACAGCTGGTTTTTCGAATAGGGGGTGCCGAAAATCTTTGAAAATTTTGGTCAAAAAGGAGGTATCGGAGAAAAATTTTTATCAGCATGAAAGAGCAGAACTCGGGCTATCTTCCCATGTATTTATCTCAGTTTTGATGATTCTGACGAAAATTGACTTTTTTTTAGGGGGGGGGGGGGCTTAACATTAAACAAGAAGATCAATATAGGTGTTAAGCTTTTATTTTCTTTAATTCGATTCTTCACATGTTGAATGTAGATGTATGTATGTGTACATTTCATTTACACGGCTCGTTTGACTTTAATACAATGATAAGCATACAATTCGATATCGTCATAAATCGATATGTGTACTTTTTCACATCAAGCGATGTCAAAAAACAAAATATAGACAAAAAAAAGACTTTATTATCAATGTCATAGTTGAGTGACTGCACATGTTTTCTATCATTTTAAAATAAAATGCATGAAGAAACAAATAAGATACTTTTTTTTCCTCTTTTATTTGTTCACAATTTCGAAAATATGATTCTTCAAAATCTATAGATTGTTTCCGCCTTATAATTATCATTGACATGTTAATCTGCTAGTTGATATCTAATTAGAAACACAGAAAAAAAGAATTCTTTTGAGAAAAGCTCGTCATGACATATACATGCAAACAAGCAATTGACACGACGCGTGTTCCTCAACATTGGAAATGTCAATTTAAGTAGAGCGTTGAATTCAATCTATTGTCCAACATTGCTTGATTAACAATAGCCTTTCTTTTCTATTCGTATACAAGAAAAAAAAATACTGAAGAAAATGTCAAATGATGATATTGTTTCTTATCTTTCTTCACTTATATATTGAACGGAACAAAAAGAAACAGACCAGATATACGAATAAGTTAGACATAAATGAATGATTAGTTGTTGTTATTAGTAAATTATAAATTAAAAGTCATGAATTCGCATGCCAGAAATCTCAATTTTAATTTTCTTTTTGTTCTGTTTGATCTTTTTTTTTCTTTGTAGGCATCTGTCTGTTTTCTATGTCTTTCATTTAAAAGATCCAAACTATATATGTATATTATTCTAACAAGAGTTGTTTAATCAATTTAAATTCACCATATAATATTCTGAAGAATTTTCATTTTGAACAAATCAAATAAATCGCTAAAATAAACTGAAGTCATCACAGAGAGAGAGAGACGTTTATTCTTCAGTGTCTTTCATTGATTTAGTGTATTCGGCCTTGAGCAATGATATTCTTTTATTGTATTTTCATTCCTCTGTATAATGATGTTACTCGAATCATCGGCTTTTCCTTGTCTTCTCCTGTCAATCATCTAAATCTTAAGTGCTTTGACTTACGTAATATACATATATATGTATATTTCTATTCATTGACATAATAAGGAATCTATGAAAAAATAAGTTATTCTCTCTTTATTCTTATATATATATATATAAATTCATTTTGATGACATATTCGATGCACATATCATATATGAACTACGTTAAATTCGAAGACAAATAAATATCGACAAAAAATACTGCTCAAAAAGCATAGGCTTAAAGATCCTTTCTTTCTTTTTTTTTTTTAATTTGACTTTGCTAAGACAAGCTTTATCTCAATTAAATACACTCGCGAACTACACAGCTTCCTAGATTTAGTTCTATTGCAATTAAAGTTGAACATAACTTAATATAAATAAGTATATAAGATCAGTTCTTTGTCCTAATTTTTCTTTATTTTTTTTAATCTACAAAATTTTTTAAGCCTTTGACTCGTGACGACGAATTTAATACGTCTGATTGTAGTTATTGAACAACTATGTTATTACCACATTCTTTGATTATTTAAACAAGTGTTTTATCTGTTAGATCACGGACTAGGACTGTGACGTCCTGCTAGAAATTTATAGTCGCTATATTCTTCATTCATTCTCTTTTGTAGTTCAAAATATAGATATTATGCATTATAGTTTCCTCTCTTTTCTATATTTTCATGAATATTTCCAATGTGTGAGTTTACTATTGGTATATTCATCACATATTGGCTCTTCGTTGTAGGATTGTTCCTTTCTAGCTTAGCATTATTTTGGAATTGTCTAGAATGGAAAAATTTCTCCTCTTTATCATCTTATATAGAGTTTTATGATCAGTAAAGTCATAAAGATCATAAGTTATCTCACCTCCAACCTTGTACATATCTTTTCTGTCCTTGTTCCTGTCATATCGATTCTCCTCATTTCTTCTATCATTGCACGTGACTTCATGTTTTTTTCCTATTTGCTCTTCTCTTTCAGACACCTTCGAGTAGATTTCCACTCTCTCTGTTTCTCTAGTATATATATATCCACTTGTGTTCTCATTTTATTGACTCTAATCATATACTAGTCATATTCTATTATATCAGTAGTTATTCTGTGTTGGGTCACTTGCCTTCCAATTCCAACTGTCGTTGTTATTGTTTCTCTTTCACTATGTTATAGAAGTCCGTTACGATTTTGGAATACAACACATGAGAATAGATCTTACATAAAGTTTTCCTTAGCTCAAGTTTGTGTATGTGTATACGTGAAGATAAAGAGTGAGCTAATCTACAGATCGGTGCACAGCGATTCAATATTATCGTTTCGAAAAAGTTTATTTCAAGAAGAAGTTTGACTGAGCAAGAAATTGGGGAAATTATGAAAAAACTCTCAATCCCACTTATCATTAGAAGATGAACTCCTAACAGCTTCTAGTAAAAATAGATCGACGAACTGGAGAAGATATGCGAAAAGCTCTTTATATTCTCAATTAGACAAAAAATATGGGTTGAGTTGACTGTGTGTTGACATGCAGATTTTATTTTCAGAATGTGTACACCAACGGGTAAAATGGTGGAAGAAATTTTTTTTTCACCTTTTGAACATTACACATCACATAATGCATTTGCAATTTACAAAATGTAAAACAATGTTTCACCTGGCCTGTCTGATTTTTGGCCTAATATCACCCGAGGAGTTTTGGCAAAGTACAGAGTACGAAAACAACTACTATTGGCAAACCGTCGATAAAGGATTCTCCTCTTTGTCTAATTGCTCGACATTTTTCTGCGCTTATTCCACAAACATTGCAAACCAAACAGCTTCAAAGAAAATGCGTGGTTTGCACATTTCATAAAGTCCGATGTAATACAAGATATACGGGTCTTAAATACAATGTGTCTCTATGTATTGTTGATTGCTTTAAAAAGCATAATACAAAAATGAACGACTGATGCTTTTTTGACACAGAAATGTGTTTTTTTTTCAAAAAAATAAATAAAAACCATATTTAAATGTTTCTTATAAAAATTTGGATTTTCGAAAAAAAGGCGAGAGTCAAAGGATTAATAAGTAAATCGTAAACTATTGATTATGTTTTTCATGAAAATCATATATAAAAGTTCAAATTTGTGTTTTTTTGACGAGGTTGAAATTCAATGATATCAACAACGCGGTCCAGCATGATAAAAAAGATTAATTTATTTGAGGACATCAATAGTATTATTACGTAATAATGTTGCACTTAGAGTATAACATAAATAGCAAAGCCATTTGAACAGAAAAAACAATGGTAGCTTCTAATGACGTACTCAAAAACAATATTTTTTAAAATAAAAAACAAATTTAAAAACAAATATATTTGGAATTAATGTTTTATTTAAAGACAAATATAAAGAAAAGTAAATGTTTGACAATCACTATTTATTTTTGTTAAAACATCGTAAATTATTTGAGAGAAAACAAATATTCATTGTGTAGAAATAATAACAAAGATTTGGGAATTACTTGAGCAGTCCTTGAAAAATGACACAAAATAATAATAATACTGACAATAAAGAATAAGCAAAAATAATTGAACGTACTATAATAAATATGTAATATAAATTCTTTTCTTTTTTTTATTCGAAATTCTCTATACATGGGATAATTGTTTATCTGCACGATGATACCATGCCATTTATATCTTTGTTTTCTTCGGAACCTATAACTTAAATGATACGAAGATATGAAATTTATCTTAAATATTCAATTAGTCGATTCATACACTATTTCAATGATTTTTTTTAAAGTTTCTTGTGTTAAAATGACGAAGTGAAGGCGTGCTTCAAAAAATCGATTTTTCTAAAGCAGAATACTTTTTGAGATAAACATATAGACATGACCTCCCTAAAAGTGTCTCGCTTTAAAATTCATAAAAATAAATTTCGAATTTCAAAAATTGTCTTAGCGAAAAGACTGATATATAAATTCATAGGAGAATCGTAACCGTACTTTGAACAAACTTTCAAGGTCTTTAGAGCTCTAAAATGAAATCAAATAAAAGCTTAAAAAACTCTTTTTGTCATTCACAGTGGCACAGTTCTCTCTCAAATAAGTGTATTGAAAAAACATTTGTATGTGTAAAAATTCTATGTTGTAACTTAGCACCTGGAAATTTCCCCTAGGGAAACTTTTGTAGTTGCAAAAATTTTTCCATTGATGTACTTTCATTGATCGAGCATCTTTAGAAAAGTTTCGTGAAAAGTCGATGTAATACATCGAAAATCGATTTTGGAGAGAACGTGAGTGGCCTTAACAACGTATGTTACTTATTTTTGTGACATGACTATTCCGATAATAATTATTATTGCAATGAAAAGTTCATTCAAATAGATAAACATTCAAAAATAACTGACGTGCTTATTTTACACAATCATCTCTCCTTTTATAAATATCTTACCAATAAAAATTGTTCATTTTTAAGAAAATAACATCATTATTTTTCCTCCTTATTCGAATAAGTTAAATTATTACTAGAAAATAGAGAGTTTTCAAGTATTTACTTCATTATATGTTGTATGAATGTCTTATTTAAAATTGTTAAAAATTACTTACGATCGAACACATTCATACAAAACAAAATAGCAATAAGTATTCTACTCGATTATTTTTCACGTTCACGTCAAAGTAATATAAGCTCATATATATTAAAAAGATAATTAACAAAATTTAAAGAGCCGAAACATACATTTACCAAATCGATAAGATTTCGAAGATGTACAAAAATCTTGATGAATTTTCTACTAAAAAAGACGAAGTACGTCTTATTAAACAATAACTTACATATGTATATATATATATGAAACTGTTTTATTTTTGACTCTATAGACATTTTATTCCTATATATGTACTAGTAGCGTTGTTCTATCTCAAAAAACAAGTCGATTTTGGATACCTTTCGATGTAAAACTCTTTGAAAGTAAGATATTTATTATTAAACAATACCAAAAAAAAAACAAATGAATATTCTTGTTTTAGCACTTACACCTAAAGAATATTTAGGAAAATATTGTCGAGTAAATTCTCGTCGATATACACTTTATAAACGTATTTTTGATAAATATAAAGATATTGAAGCAGAATTAAACATGGAGGTAATAAAATAAAAACTTTTATAATGATATTATTAAGATTGTAAAACATATGAAAATTAACAGGTCCTTGCTGATGCGTTATCTGATGCATATTTGGGTACTATTGATAATCGACTTATAAGACAAGTGATTGTTTTACTTGATTTATCATCAAATGAAAAAGTAACATTTACTCAATTTAGTGGTATTGCAGCATTTTCTGAAAGATATTTTTTTAATATTTTCAGGTGAGTTAAATTATTTTTTGAATAATAAAAATTCTTTAAAAAAATTCATTTAGACGATATGATGATATAGATTCACAATTACAAAAAGATATTTTAGAAATACTTGATTTTTCTTCATTAAAATGGAAATTACTTGGTGTTAATATTTCGCCATCACTTCGACAAATTCTTACATTGATATAAACTTTTTCTTTGTCAATAGTTATATTTTCAAAATATAATCAAATATTCAATTTTTTAAAATCAATAATCATGCGATGATTTTAACTTATGTGACAAAAATAGGAAAATCTTTTAATAGAATGCGAATTAATCGATTTATGTTCATCAAACAAATACATTATTGCGAATATTTGAATCTCTGTGTTTAAGATAAAAGAAGATTTCTTCAATTTTTAAACATTCATTTATCCTTGTTTTCTTCTTGGATTAGAATACATGAAAAAAAATTGTTACCCTAGTGAATGTACTGAGCTCAAAATGGTAGGTACCCTGCTATAAATATCTCACAGCAATCTATAAACATTTTAGTACCTTAGGGTACTTTATGGATTGTCAACACTTGACTATTAAATACTTCCTATCTCATATTGTGTGACATACTGGTAACAAGGTACCTTGAACTCACGAGGGAGGTACCCGAACTGTCCCCTCGATTTAGAGCTTATACTTTGACTACAAGTAAACCTTAATATGACTAGCAAAAGCCGAAAAGGATTCGTGCCCATGGATCTGTGGTCAAGAGTTATGGTCGTTTTACTGAATTTTTGACTCATAGCCAGGCATTTTCGAAAAAAGCGAACTAAGGAATTTCGGCCTGAAATTTTGTCTCTAGATAGATCTAATTGTCATTAGAATATCCTGAAAGTTTCAACAAAAACGAATGTGTCTTTCTCGAGATATTGAGTTTTCAAAAAAATAGTCACTTGCCACACGAAGGACGCCATGGTCGAGCTTACTTGTAAATTCAATATCGCGAGAAAGATACATTCGTTTTTGTTGAAACTTTCAGGATATTCTAATGACAATTAGATCTATCTATAGGCAAAATTTCAGGCCGGCATTCCTTAGTTCGCTTTTTTCGAAAATGCCTGGCTATGAGTTAAAAATTCAGTAAAACGACCATAACTCTTGACCACAGATCCATGGGCACGAATCCTTTTAGGCTTTTGCTAGTCATATTGAGATCTACTTGTGATCAAAGTATGAGCTCTAAATCGAGGGGACACTTCGGGTACCTTCCTCGTCAGTACATCCACTAGAGTAGCAATTCTTTGAACTTGAAAAAATTTATTTAAAAAATAAAATCATTACGATGTTTTCTTGTTTTTTTTGCATCTTAAATTAACTATTTAATAAATTTTTGTTATGCACAATGACTCTTTTGTTTTTAAGATATTGTCATATCTATACGTGTTACTTTATCGCTGACTAAATAATTTATAAAAGAACGTAACCGAGTTGATCAAACGTAATCTGACCGCCGATGAAAATAACTGTGAACTATTGCATAGTGCTGTAACGATGATAATAAATTCGCTCAGTAAAGGTCACTATAGAAAAACATTTGATAAATGAATTGAACGGATGAAAGTGTCGGCAAATAATCAGGATCACTACTTTGAGTATTTAATCAAATAAGAAATTCATTAACTCATTTCTGAATTTTTTTTTCCTTAAAAAATGAGTACTTTTGATATACCCTAAACACTAATTGTTTTCAATCTTAATGATCTCATATTGTTTTTACTTACATGGTAAATATGCTCGATTTGTTATTTTCAGATGATATTCAAATTGAATCTATTTATTTATTCATAACATGCATCAAACAAGAATTGTGTTCTTTATTTTGTTCGATAGAAAAGTAATCAAAATCTCTAAAAATTTGATTACATTATAATTTAACATATTAAGCATGACTTGCAAATATATTTATAGCTATATATTTGGATAATTTATTGATTAAACCATAATAATTGTGAAAAATTCTTAATATTACAGTGCGTGTTAAAAGTCTGGTCCCACTTTTTTCTCTTGTGTCGTGTATTAAAATTACACAAAATTAATTTAATTCAATTATATGTTTGGATAGCAGAGATCGAGTATTACATACACCTGTTCAATTCGAAAAATTCTTGAATATGAAATACAATAAGAAAAACAAAGTTTAGTACTAAAAAAAGGAAGACAAAAACCTACAAAATGATAATAAAAATGTTTGGAAGACTTTTTGTTGTGCAATAGGAATTTGTTTATACAGCTTTTATAGAGCTTTCGGCGGCACATCTTTTGAAAAAATCAAGATACTATCATTTTCTTAAGGCGAGATACACGCAAAATATAAAAGTCTTTCAAACATTTTTATTATGTAAAATACGGTGGGAAGTAGCACTATCATGCGCTTTCTCTTCATTTTGAGTAAGAAAGAAACCATCAAAAGAAGTCAATAGAGTTTGTTCTTACAGTTTTTGTAGAGCTTTTTACGGTGCATCTTTTTGAAAGAAAAAACAAGATTTTATCATTTGTCTGTGCTGAGATATTTGCTAAACAAACTATGTTGCAAACATTTTGGGACATCGGATATTTCACAGTATTTTATATTTTGACTCTAATATCGTCATTTTTCAATGAAATTCAAAATGTTTTTTTTTTGTATCAAAATGATCAACGAAAAAAGCTCTGCATAGTCTGATAAAATGAAAAATTTTCTTAATACTTTTTGTTTTTCGTGGTTAACGACTGACCATGGAAGTATCGTATAACAACAATATCATTTTGCAGTTTTTAAGTCATTTTTTCTTAATACTCAAGTTTGTTTTTCTTATTGTATTTCATATTCAAGAGTTTTTCGAATTGATCAAGTATATATAATTCTCGATCTCTGCCATTCAAACATATAATTGAATTAAATTAATATTATGCAGCTTTAATATACGACTCAAAAGAAAAAAGTGGCACCAGACTTTTGACGCACACTGTACATATAAATTCATATAAATACTTGTGAAATTGTTTTTATATTTAAAATTTTAACACTTATTTCGATAAGTTAATTAACTACAGTAGTTTTCTTTATTTGTCTGATATTTTCATCGATAAAGTGTTTTTAAATTACAATTCAATTGATTCAATTCGAAATAATCTTATTATATTTCAATTAGTTAGTAGAAAATCAATAGAAAAATCAATTTGATAATTGCTTTAAACAAAAAATAAATTCGTTTAATCATTACTATTTCAATAAATGAAAAGAATCAGTTAATAGGGATTTCAGTTATATTTTTGTATCTTCACATTAGTGGCAGAGTCAATATCTCAGGTCAAGATTTGATCATGGTGAGTAGAGCGCATCCTAATTCACACAATGTATTACTTTAATATAGTTTTGAAAATCTCTCAGGACAGGTTGAGACCATTCTAAACTACCGGTGTCTCTACTACTACTTCACATAGAGTTGCTCCCGCTGAACTCTACCTTCTAAGTTCTAATTAAAATTTAATAATTAATGAAATATTAATCGATCATGGTCATATANAATTAAGCGCAAAAAAAAACGCGAAAAACGGCGTTATTTTTTTGAGCGTGAGTGGATCACAATCGCGGTTCCCGATTGTAGGGTTTAAACGCGTTTTTCCAAATTCTTGTCTGCTCGGGTATATAATTTGCCATTAAACAAAGATGAAGACCATTTTTCATGACATACATATTTTATGTTTCTTCTATAAGAATTTCTATGATTTCAATCATCAAATAATTTTTTAAATGCATAATATTTCGTCTTGTAAAACGATCAAATATAATCAATTTACTCAATGAAATAAGTCTAGTAAAGTAAATTTTACAAGCATCTATATATATAAAGCAAAAATGTTGTTGACATTCTTTAGAAATGAATGAGATTATATTTATAATGATAAACTAATAGAAGAAAACACATAATCTATTCATTGAAAGTCATAAGTTTAAGTTTCCATAATGAATATTCAAACTTTTTCTAGAAAATTCATTACAAGATTTTTCATTGAAGCTTCTGGTTACTCTTCTTACTGTAATTCTTGTTATATTAAATAAAAATGGAAGGTTATTATATCATAAACCATTTAAAGAATTTCTCTAACAATTTAATCGAATAAATAACTATATTCCAATGCATGAAAACATCTGCTATATCATTAATAAATGTATTGTTAGACTCATGTCAACATCATCACCTGTTATAACTCATTTATCAGTTATAAATACAACCGATTATGTTTTATCTTTGATGACAGACTCTATGCGAACAATAATCTCAATATTAAATATAATATCAATGCATGAAACAATGCAAATTATTCAATCTGAATTATTATGAGATGAAATTATTGAAAAAAATTGATACTAATCTATCATTAGAAGATTTTCAAGGATAAGCATTTAAAACAACATAATTTAATAAGAACTGTCTATAATAAATCACTATTAAATTTAATTCAATCTGTAGATAACCATTTATATTAAAGTAAAATTTTAATCTAAACCTGAGGATTTATATAGCCTATATCTAATTTTTGTTTATTTATGTTTTTAATTTAAGTGCTTATTTTACTTAATTAATACTGGCTAATGTTAATCTATCAAAGGAAGTTGATTGTGTATTAAATGAAATAAGCATTGAAATTGGTTTTGATCCAACATTAAGTCACCTATATGATAATACACAAAAGCAACAATAACAAGGGATTAATGTTGCTCATTACTATTCATATTGTCAATTAGCTACTGTACAATCTTAGACAGACAACATAAGAAAAGACACAAAATCATTCAAGCGTAGAGAGTAAAACAAAGGCAGGGAGAGAGTTTATTAGTCGGTATAAATGATCATTGTGAATACAAAGGACGCGTGTGCATTGTGAATATATTATATTAATCCAAGTGTAGAAGTTTAAAAATAAAAGGTATGCTGATTTAACAGTTTTTAGATCTTATCTATACTCATTAATTTTCAGCTGATTTTACATGAAAAACTATTCGGAATTTTTATCTAATCTTGATTCAAGATTGAATTTTATTTACAAAAATTTCGGTTGAATTTCAGATAGATAGAACGAAAAAGCAACTGAGAACGCATTCTGATTTGTCTATTCTATCTAAAATTTATGGACTATTAAGTGTGTTTCTTGTTTTCTGGCTTTTATGTTATACTAAATACATATAGATGAATATGTACATAAAGTGCAGATGTCCAGACTGAAAAGCAAAGACATTGTTTGATAATTATCTCTATTTTTGTTGTTCTCATTGACTACAATATATCGATATCGTTCTGTATATTGTCATATATTAATGAACACACTTGCATTGTCCTTTTTTACTTTTGATCAATGTGACAATCTGGTTAATTATAGATATCTTTTAATAATGAGAATCTTTAGTCATTTGTGATGTCTTCTTCGATCAAGGTCATAGAGTTGTGTTAAGTGACTAATATGACAATTCAATGAAATGAATGTGTATGTAGGCGAGAACTGATTACATATTTCTTCTTGATTTTTTTTTTAATGCTGATGATTGATTCTATCTGTCAATTTATCAATCGTTAGGATAGAAAAAAAACCGAACTATCAAACTCAATTTATCATTGCAGTACTAAGAGAAATAAGAATAAGGACAATATAATCCTTCAGTTTTTATCAATATCTTTTTCTAAGAGATAAATATAAACAATCAATTTATGTCATATATTTATGTATAATCTAAGTTGATGAAATAAGATAAGACTAGTAGAATTATATTTTATTGCGTTGTTTTTACGATTATGACATATGTCAAATATACAATAATATTGATCTATTGAAAAATTTTCAAGAATATTTATTCATAAACGATTTCGTTTTTTTTAGATATTTTTTAAACAAAATGCGAATTAAAGCTGTACTTCTTCTTACAATAGCACTCTTTTTTGCAACAATTGGTCTTATCTTTCATTTTTTGGCAATGTAAATTAGCTTTTATTATTTTATTTTTTAAAATTATTAATTAATCAATATTTTAGCTTTAGTAAACGATGGACAGTAGCTATTCCTCGTCAACCTCGAGGACCTAATGATCAAATTCATTATTATGGTTTATGGACACGATGTCAATATTCAAATACTTCATTTGTTATACCAGATATATCATCTCAACCAAATATAGAAAATTTTGTTTGTCGTCCAAATACCTATTTACGTTATAATATTAATAACGAAGAAATAAGTAGAAAATGTTATTTAAGTCGTCATCAATGTTCATCTATTATTGGTGTTCATCCAGATTGTAAATGCAAATATTTACATGTAACACGAACTCAACAATGGTGTTCTATTCTAGCTGCTGTATGTCTTTTATTTGCTATATTTAGTTTATATCTTAGAATAATTGCTTCACCACAAAATGGTTTGTTCTTTTTTTTTAATTTTATATATTATATAAATAAATTTTGTTTTATTTTCTATAGTAAGTGGAACATTCCTATTGGCTCTTGCACCTGTGACACTTTTTACTGTAGCATTATTATTGATGATTATAACTATGATATTGGTCGGTGCTTCTTTAAGACGTAATGAATATGAAGATTATGATATAAAATTATCAAAAGAGATTTTTCCTCCATTATCTACGGTACCTGAAACATTTAATTTATACCGACTTAATGCTTTTTTTAAAAATCATAAAGGTATTGATTTGAAAATTTTCTTTTTAATTGATTAACAGAAAACTCAAAAATATAAATTTGAATTCATAGATCCTATCTTACATCGAAATGCTATTTCAACATTCAAATCCATTCATAAAGAACGTTTTTATGCTCGTATTGATTGGTCTGCGGGTGCAGAAATTGTTGCTATTCTAGTAACATTAGTTACATACATGTTGAGTATTATTCTAGCTATAGCACAAGTTAATTGACATTTAATTAATATACTCGAAATTAATCTTTTATCGTATGTAATCTACAATTTATTATTATTTATTTCATTCTTTATGATGGCTTGCTGTTTTACAATATGTTTTTCTTAGTGGTTTTTTTTGTTACTATGTTATGTTAATAAATGCTTATTCATTGTGCACGTCCAACTATTCTTTTTCTTTGCTTGTTGCTTGTTTGCTGTATCGAGTACAGAAATATATTTAACTCTTGCTCGACTTCCCTTCCCTTTTGCCGTCTATTATAGTGTTTATTGTATGCTTCGCCATATGTCTTCAGTAGAAAAGATAACCAACCACTAGCAATTGTGGTTGTGTAGTGCAGTGTCAGTAAGCAAGAATTCTCTCTTCTTTTCCATTCATTCGTTCTTTTTTTTTTAGGCATCCATCCAACATTCTATTCTTCCTGTTTCTTTTTTCTCTTATAGTTTTCTTTTTCTCTCACCGTCCATCGGTGTGTCTACTATATGAATATTGCTGCATACATAGGTCTGTATGTGACCATGTATAACAATATATCTGTGCTCCTAATGTTTTGTACAGTAGTCGCTCGCGTTCGCGCGTCTTCATCTATTATTTCTCTTTTTCCTATTTCTTTGTATTTTGTTGCCCGTGAACTCGATCGAACATAAAAAAAGACATAGCAAAGAATATAAAGTTAATAACGCATTGATGATGAATACATATCGTCTCCTCTTTATTTTTTCATTATATTCATATTGATTATCATCAATAGTTTAAATATGGATTTTAAAAAGAATTTCGAGTAATATTGAATTTTTTTTTGGTCATTGTTTTTCTTGTATCAATCATTTATTCGTAAGTATAGTAGTGTTGAGAGATTGTGTCTATACCCAATAAAAGTATAGGGTAAAAGGGAGGCAGTAATAGAACAATGATTGTCGATAGAAACAAGGATAACTACAAGACATGCTGATTCATTGGTATCATTTTTATTGTTGATATCATTTTAACAATGAAAACAGTGTGTATTTTGTATATGTGCACACATAGCTTGAAGAAAGAAACATTAGAATAGTCGAATGAGATGTGAATCGTTTAATAGATACTTTCAGGCAACATCTTGACCGATTTATGTACTGAACATATAGTCGGACAATTTAACCCGCACATGAAAATGTCAACTGAATTTAATCAGTTTCTCGTTTTGTTTTTTAGATTGTTTTATTATTTATTCATAGCTTTTACTTTGATTGTTAAGTAAGTAAAACTTAAAAAAAAAAAAAGTTCAAATCAAATTGAATCTATACAAATATATATTTATTGAAATAAAATATATTCGTCGTTTTTGTTTTGAACAAAAATAGATCATGCAAGTTCGTGGTGTTGTACTTGTAACATTAGCCCTATTTTTGGGTATTGCTGCATTAGTTCTTCATTTGTTGGCTATGTAAGTTTATTAATTTTTTCTTCATCTTTTAAACAAAACTTTTAATTAATAAACAAGGTGTTCACCTCGTTGGAAAATAACTAAACGAGATCGTTCACCAACAATGGCACCGGTTAGTTATGGTCTTTGGCAACGATGTGAAAATACAAATATAACAATTATGAAACAAGGTATTCCACTTGGTATTCGACCAAATGTTCAAATATGTCGACCAAATCTTTATATGAGATATTCACCCGATGATTTTGATACATGTTATCATATTCGTCGTAATTGTCCAGTTACTGAACCGGAACAATTATCTGCAGGTTGTTCATGTCGATATTTACCATCGACAAAAGGTTTACAATGGTTAACAGTTTTAGCTGCTATTTTTCTTGTTATTGGTTTACTTTTACTGTATTTAAAGACAATAACATCACCACAAAATGGTTCGTATTTAAAAAATTTTCTTTGTTTTACTATATATAATTTTAACAATTTTTATATTTCTTGTTTTAGATAGTGCAGTATTAGTACTTAGTTTTGGACCATTTATTTGTTTTCTTTTAGCATTACTTTTAATGAGTACAGCGTTAATTCTTGTTGGTGCATGTAAGTTATTCTACAAATAATATTATATATATATATATATATTGTTTTTTATTAATTACTTGGAATATAGATCTTAGACGCGATACCTATGAAGATTATACATTTCCATTAAGAACTATTTCAAATGATCCAAATGATTTACAAGGTTTCGATTTACATAGTCTTCGTAATTACGCAAAACATTATGGTAGAAAAAAAAATCAATAAATTCTTTTTTTTTTGTTTACTTAATTTGTTGTTTGTTTTTTAGAATCAAAAATTTCTCATGAAAAATATGTCGCTGCTGAACAGGAATTACGTACCGATGCTAATGAGCATTTTCATACGAGAATTGGATGGGCTACTGGTTTTGAAATTATTGCAACTGTATTAGTATTTTTTGTTACTGCATTAACAATTTTACTTTTAATGGCATCAAGATCAGATGATGTTTAACAACTTGATAATGCTACATTGAATGTCTTCATATTGAAGAACATCAACAATCTTTAACGTATTTTATTAGTCATTGTGTGCTATCGATGAAACCAAAAAAAAACAAACGTTTTTTTTTTTTCGTTTTTTTCTCACTTATATAGCATAGTTACCGTTTATCATTATTACCTGTTTTTCTTCGTGCTTTTGTTTTTTGATACTTATTGAAATTTGTTTGTAGTAGATTTTGCACAAGACTTGTTTGTTTTTTTTTTATATACACGCATATACTCTTTTTGTTTGGATATACGATCATGTTAAACATATATGGTAAGTTGATATGAAGAGTTGCAAAATGAGTTTTTAAAAACTCGTTTTTATCTTGATTTATACAAATTCTGAAATCGTTGATGATGCATTAAATATGTACATTGTTTAGTGAATGTATTGAATATGATTACATTTCATAAGTATGACATATAATTATTATTGTCAATGCTGAGAAATAGACAGATGGATGGATCAACATCACTGTTCAGTGTCTGTACGGAAAAAAAAAGCATGAAGCAATTTTGCTGCAAATGTCATACGATTATCCACAAAACATCAACATTAGCGCTATAATTGAGGGCGGTAATGAACAAGATTATAGGCACAATTTGGGTTCATCACAATGCAGATAGACAGATGCAAGCTGAGCATAAATAGAAAGAAGATGCGTTCATACAATGTTATTATTATCGTCAGAAGCAAGACTCCAACTGTGTTAACAGTACTCAAATTGTCTGGCATTATAATAACTGTCAGTTACTATCTGATGCATATTTAATAAGAGTTATATCTATCTTGAATCCATAAATATTACAAAATCCCTTGGTTAACATGAAAACAAACAAATGAAAGATATTTAGTATGATGTAATATTTATCATTGTTTTGGAAACAACGAAATATTTAGTTGTTTGATATAAAAATATTTCTATGTTTACTTAAAATTGCTTAGCTTAATTGACTCAAGCCAGCTCGGAAACATGCAATAAAGATCAATAAAAGTACATTATTTTTTTTCCAAGCATGAAATTAAAACATAGATTATCACTAAATTACCGATATTGTAATTCTCCTCTTGACAATTTATTATGATATTCATGTGTTCAGAATCTTGAAAATTGTTTATTTTAGAACAAAATGCCTATCAGCTAATTAAATTTCTTTCACCGAATGGTTGAAATGCATTTCTCCTTTGCATCTCTAGAGATATCAGCTGGTCGGGTTATCACTGGACCAACAGAATCGATACTGGCTGTTTAAGCTCGTATTGAATCTGAATAAATGCCTTCGTGAGATTTGCAAAAGTCTAAAATAGTTCATCTGCATGGATTTTTAAAATCAAATTATGATGTTTTCATTGAATTTCTGATTCTTTTAGAATATCCTGAAAGTGTCAGGCGAAAAGAATGGTTTTTTGTCGAAATACAGAATTTTCAAGTAAATAATATTTCTGTGGCAAGTGATTATCTTTTGGAAATTCAATATCTCAACAACAACGATTCCTTTCGATTGAAACTTGCAGGATATTCTAGGAGTTTTAATTTCTCGGTAAATACCTAAAGCTGCGTGGAAAATTCAATGGAAAGATCATAACTCGACTCCAAAAGTCCATATCGACGAACTATTGAAGGTTTTTTCTAGTCTCACCAAGACATGCTTGTAGATATAATATGAGCTCAAAAGGTGGATATCAGTTCGGATGATTTCTTCTTCAGTGACCACTGGCAGGAAAAAACACATTGAAGTTTTTAAAAGATTCGATCCCTAAGATCACTTTTCGAGAGTTTTATCTAATTGTTTTTTTATTCATGTGCTCTCTATACCCGGTCAGACAAAAATTTGAAAAAACGCGTTTAAAAACCCAAAAAAGCCGTAAACGCTTGAAAAAGTGGACGTTTAAACGCGTTTTTCCAAATTCTTGTTTGACCGAGTAGTAGAGTCCTGCAACTAGAGACCTGCTGAACAAACTTTTCTGTGCCTCGACTCCCGTTTGTCCCGTAAACGAAAACAAATAAAGGTATGGCTTTATTCAATAGCAATGTGTCTCTTCTATACGATCAATCGAAATAATTTATTCATATCTATGGTTATGAGATGATTTATGAATTTCTGGTAAGTATTATTGACTATACAATGTCAATCAGAAAAAACGTTCAGAAAAGGATAAAATATAAAGTTTGCTATTGGTCGAGCGAAATATCCGAACTTCAAATATTAAAAAGTATTTATCTGTATGTAGTGAAGTTTAGAAAAAAAGATTAATATAAAGTACAACTGTAATTTTAATACACTCTGGCTCTCATCCATACACTAATTGATCGGTAAAGTGCGTTAACCAAATAAGACGATGAGCTTATAAATAGCATTAAAGGTAAAATAACTGATAAAGAGAATGATAATAGACAGATATTAAAGCATCTCGTGGCTTGTTTTTTTGTGTTTTTCTTTGACACTTTTTATTTAAATACTAAAATGTTTGTGAAAAATATGAATTTATAGTTTATTACGGATTT